AGCTATTATATTGTATATGTTCATTAGTAGTTTATGGTATCGTGTATGATACATATGAATGTGGGCTGCTTGTGGAATTGTGTGTGGATGGATATGTCAGATTGGGTGATTGGTAGTGTGTGAGGGGTTGTTTGCAGGGCCAGATTAAGAACCCAGTGGGCCTGGAGCTGACAATTATGATGGGCCTAATTACAGAATCTTATCGACCAAAAACACTAAAACAGTCATACTTCCCAAGTGTCATGTATCTGATGGAGATGGTGATGGAAATGGTGTTGGAGGGAAACTCAAAGGATGCAGCACTACGAAAACACATACTCTATGCTAATCTCTCTCTAATTTATGCTTTCATCTTTCAAGTAAATCCATACCCCCTAACAGCAGTGTCCAGTGGAGCAGGAAGTCAATGGGCAGGGAAAATCACGTGACCAGACCTGCCAAAAGGGGTGAACATGCCCAAAAAGTGGGCATGTTTGTTCAAAGAATTGGAAGGCCAGCCTGGCATGAATGCATGTCAGTCTGCCTGCCTGCCATCCATGCAGGCTGTCCAACTAAGGGCATACTATGCAGGCAGCACCCTGAGCTTGACATAAATGCATCAAATGATGCACCTACTCCAAGCCTACTAAGGACTGTTCCTTAGCACTCATATGTCTACTTGTCTCATTACCATCTTACGAGCAGGAAGAAGTTCCTGGTATATAGTCTGTGACAGAGTAAAGGTATATGAAGTGAGTGTAGAAGAAAGGGGACATGCCACAGTGTTATAGAAACCAAAGTCAGCATTACCTAAACTAATTTTATAGTCAGCCAGTCCACACACGTTTTATTGCCATACATCACTCTTAAGCTTCCAAACTTTAAGGGACACTAAAGTCACCACGACAACTACAGCTTATTGTAGAAAACAATGGCAGGAGAGAATAGGAAGAGAAATCCAATCCCCAAAGAAAAATGGGGCAGAGGACTGCCTTCACCATTCAAAGAATACCTCCTATTGTAAAAAACACATAAATGAGGGTATAAATACTGCCAAATAAGTCTAATGGTAGTAGAGAAAAAGAGAATAAACAGACAGGTTGTCCCTATATAATAATACAGAGTATAATATAGGGGAGATGAATAGGTGAAGACTCGTCAAAGGATAACAGTATCGAAGGAGAGAGGGGTTGAAAACCTAAAGAATCAAGTAAGAATATAGTTCTGAATACTATATATAGGTTGCTTAAAGGACCCCTAAACACCACTGCTCCCACGGAACCTACACCATACATCTAATTGCTGCTATAAAGGCAGCCTATCTAAATCCCCTTAATATCTAGAATAAACTAGCATAGACTCTTAGGGACAACTCCAGGCTGGAAAGATAGATAGAAAACATAAGGTAAAGAGTGCTGCATAAAATATCTCCAAAAATCTGACTAGAGCTTGCCTAGAAAGGTAGTAAATAGCTTCAGCGTAAATCACTTCGGTTTTGGCTATCTAAACTCGCAACAGCAGATTAGCATCAACTGCAGCTGTCTACAGAGTATATGTAAATAGCGATGGTTGTAACTGAAAATCTTAAGTCAAATGGTAGCATCCGCTAAAGCTAAATAGATTCAGCGTCTCAAAATAAAATGTGATCCGACTAGACCCTGCCTGGAAAAAGTAATGAAAATATAGCTGCAGTCAAAAGCTCCAGTAAACGTAAATAACTTCCGGTATAGCTATCTAAACTCAGACTAGCAGATAGACATCGGCTAAAATTGTCAACGGAGTATGTATACAAAAAACGAAGGCTATAACTAGAACTAAAGTCTTAAATTAAATAATGGCATCCACCACAGCTAACTAAATTCAACGCGCGTTTCGGCGTTCTTAAACACGCCTTTATCAAGAGCAACTTGTTCAGTGATTAAAGGTTGCTTTATAAAGGGTAATAATCACTTCCTCAGAAATGACGTCCTCCAATCGGCAGGGTTCATCCGATCATCATGCCCGAAAAGGACCAATCAGAGAGAAGTGGGCGTGAAGCTCACGTGGTCACTAGAATTGCAACAAAAGGAAAGAAAGCGTCATAGTGACGAGAGTGGCTATTAAGCCAATTACGTAAACATTGTTACTAATGTGATCACCCCTTAATTGAGGGAAGAGGTTGCGATGTCGGAAATACCTAAACTCCGGCAAAAAATAATAACTAAATAAAATAAAACATTGTTACACTGTAGCAACTAAATAGTAACGCAGTTAGGTAATATGAACAACATTACCAAATTGTTCACACCACCTCTTATTATACTGATAGGAAAGAAATTTCCACGAGGCAACAAACAGATAAGACTGTCACAAAATAAAATAAAATAAAATAAAATTAATATAATGTTGCTCAGTGGAATACCCTGGACAGATATATTGACAAAACATAAAAATAATTATAAAGATGAAATAAACAATCCAATAATAATCAAAAAAGATTATATTAAGAGTCCTATATATACTATTAACAGTATAAAAGAGGTGTTTGCAGGAAAGCAAAATATACTAGTAACAAACTGCAGATAAAAATGCTACAAAAAGATTTACAAATGCCGGAATATTTTTAAAGGGGACATCACCACCTCTATATACTCAATAAGTGGTTGTTTACAAAAAAGAGAATGTGTATAATGAAAAAAATCTTAAACAAAGCTGTTGCTATAAAGACAACCCCACACAAACAAATCTACAATAACCCTATAATGTGTAATAGAATAATCACATAAGGTAATTAATGAGCCGGTTAGCTAGATCAAAATACAGAAACAGGAATTGGTAAAAAGAATTAAAGGGTAATGGGAAAGTGTGGTCAAATGAACGGGGAAAAGGAAAAACCCTCATTGAGACCTTTCGGATGAAGGGTTTTCAATTTGTAGATCCATCTACATTCTTTTTGGCGCAGGATTTTATCAAAATCCCCCCGTCTTTGGTCACGTTTAACAAGTTCTAAACCACAAAACCGTATATCTTTAGACGAACCCCCATGATGTTCCTTTAGATGTCTTGAAATGGGGGTATCAAAACGGTTTTTGGGTGACCTGACATGTTCCTTAATATGTTCTTTAAAAGGACGGAACGTTTTACCCACATACAATGATTTACAACTGCAGGTAAGGAGATATACAACTCCTGTTGAGTTGCAGTTGAAGAAGTGGGTAATCTGGTAAGTGTGTTTACCTTCGGTGTCCGTAACTTCCTTTGAATTTCTAAGGATGTATCTACAAGCTACGCACCTTCCGCAACCATAGGTCCCCACAGGGATCTTTCGACCAAGCCAGGTCTTGTTAAGATGTTGCTTGGGGGCAAAATGACTAGGTACGAGGATGTCACGAAAGTTCTTGCCCCTCCTTGCTGTAATGGACACCTGTGGACCCAGAATCTCTTTTAAGTGATTGTCTTTAAGAAGAATGGGCCAAAACTTTTGCATAGAGCTTTTGACCTTATCCCAACCAGTGTCGAATGTACCAATCATCCGAATGGTTTTATTGGTAGGTTTGTCTGGTACTGGGAAGTCTGACAAAAGATCTGATCTGTCAGTAGTTAGTGCTCTCAAATATGCTCTCTTAAGGCATCTATTAGGATAACCCTTCTCCTTGAACTGTTGTCTCAAGACCTTAGCTTTAATTTGAAAATCTGCAAGATCTGTACAATTGCGTCGTAATCTAAGGTATTGCCCCGTAGGGATACCCTGCTTTAAAGATCTTGGATGGCAACTGTTCCATTTAAGGAGAGAATTAGATGCTGAAGGTTTCCTAAAGAGAGTTGTAGTTAGAGAGCCATCGCCAGAAATCGAGATTGTAAGGTCCAAAAAGTTCAGTGTAGAACCACCAAACTCTGCGGTGAATCTCAGGTTATCATCATTTACGTTAAGGAGGGACACAAAATCATCAAACTCCCTATGATTCCCCTGCCACATTAAAAAGACATCGTCGATGTATCTATACCAAACAATAATTTTGGATAAAAAATTAATTCTAGTGACCACGTGAGCTTCACGCCCACTTCTCTCTGATTGGTCCTTTTCGGGCATGATGATCGGATGAACCCTGCCGATTGGAGGACGTCATTTCTGAGGAAGTGGTTATCACCCTTTATAAAGCAACCTTTAATCACTGAACAAGTTGCTCTTGATAAAGGCGTGTTTAAGAACGCCGAAACACGCGTCAAGTTTAGTTAGCTGTAGTGGATGCCATTATTTAATTTAAGACTTTAGTTCTAGTTATAGCTATCGTTCTTTGTATAAATACTCCGTTGACAATTTTAGCCGATGTCTATCTGCTAGTGTGAGTTTAGATAGCTATACCGGAAGTTATTTACGTTTACTTGAGCTTTTGACTGCAGCTATATTTTCATTACTTTTTCCAGGCAGGGTCTAGTCGGATCACATTTTATTTTGAGACGCTGAGTCTATTTAGCTTTAGCGGATGCTACCATTTGACTTAAGATTTTCAGTTACAGCTATCGCTTTTTACATATACTCTGTAGACAGCTGCAGTTGATGCTAATTAGCTGTTGCGAGTTTAGATAGCCAAAACCGAAGTGATTTACGCTGAAGCTATTTACTACCTTTCTAGGCAAGCTCTAGTCAGATTTTTTGAGATATTTTATGCAGCACTCTTTACCTTATGTTTTCTATCTATCTTTCCAGCCTGGAGTTGTCCCTAAGAGTCTATGCTAGTTTATTCTAGATATTAAGGGGATTTAGATAGGCTGCCTTTATAGCAGCAATTAGATGTATGGTGTAGGTTCCGTGGGAGCAGTGGTGTTTAGGGGTCCTTCAGGCAACCTATATATAGTATTCAGAACTATATTCTCACTTGATTCTCTAGGTTTTCAACCCCTCTCTCCTTTCGATACTGTTATCCTTTGACTAGTCTTCACCTATTCATTTCCCCTATATTATACTCTGTATTATTATATAGGGACATCCTGTCTGTTTATTCTCTTTTTCTCTCTCTACTACCATTAGACTTATTTGGCAGTATTTGAGTATTTATTATATCTTTTTATATACTTAATAAAGGTGATATACCCTCATTTATGTGTTTTTTACAATAGGAGGTATTCTTTGAATGGTGAAGGCAGTCCTCTGCCCCATTTTTCTTTGGGGATTGGATTTCTCTTCCTATTCTCTCCTGCCATTGTTCTCTATTTAATTGGGGTTAAGCCCCTATTACCTCCTGTAACCTTCTTTTTTGAGGGAATTTCTGGGGGAGGGGTTACCTACCTCCACTATTCCTTCTTTGGCTTATTTTTCTAATGAATCTAATTAACACATTGGACTTAATTACAGCATAAATATATCATCATGCAATAAGAACCCCTCCATTTCTTCTAAGGACTGGCTGCATTTAATACAAGATTATGATTGAATAGCAAATTCTTATTTATTGAGGGTAGTTAGAAAAAAAAAAATAAGATCAGCACTGGGATAGAGAGATACATTGAAAACTGTTTACACCACCAAGAGGTATGTAATCAAAGTATCTTGTCTGAGCCAGAAAGTACAAAAACTGGAACGAAGATAATGCGATTTTTGAAGCTCAGAGCACTCAGCAGGCCTAGAGGTATGTATATGTAAATATGTTCAGAAGTGCAATTTCTTCCGTACCACCCGTACCAGCCCTCTCCTGACCGCAAATATTTCTTGAAACTGTTGTTCAGCTGTAAGTGTTCTACAGTATAAAGTTTACAATTGAATTACAACTTGCATGAGCCCCTGCTATCAAGCCTGGATTACCTGCATGGCTGATCAAAGGACTCCCATCAAACACCTGCAAAGTCGATCAAAATGTGGGTTGGCCTATTCATGGCCAATGCTTCCTAAAAACCATCCCAGAGCAGGAGCTCCATTTCCATTGAGGAGATCAATGATCCCCTTTACCGACCTGCCCATTCTGATTCTGATGCACGGGGCCCTCCAGGGGTACAGACCAAGTGTTTTGCTCATGCAATTGTTGCAGTGAGTTAACATGGAAATGAGCCACTAGGAGTAATGTAAGTGTAGGGGCTGACAAGATGATGCACCTACTGGACCAACCTATCTTTTCCCAACACACATAACAGCCCTTATTTCCCAATACTTACAACAGCCTTTACACCCCCCCACATACAAAACAGGCCCTATCTCCCAACTCACACAGACAACAGCCCCATCACCCCTACACATACACTACAGCCCGTTCCCCCTCACACATTACAGCCCCATTTTCACATGCAAATACTACAGCCCCTATTTACATATGCACATACATACTACACTACAAACAGCCACCTCCAGAAACACATACAACCGCAGAACAGCCTCCCTCCCACATGCACAACCACACAAGTGGCTTTCCCAGAAACCTGCAAATCTTTGCCATCCCTCATATAGCTATATATCTGGGGTGAAAAAACATAAAAATGCAATAAAAGCATATATACATGTTCATTTTACTTGAAACATTGACTTTACAACAAATATAAATATGATTTTTAAAAAAAGATTGGTTTAAAATTTTGTACAAAAATAATACATTAGAACAAATCATTTTGAGGGAAATCTTCCTTTCCTAAGTAGTTTTGTATTTCTGGCAGTTATTGTGACAGACATTATCGCAAATTGTATAATTGCAACATATACAAGCATTGAACAAAATGTGACCATAATTTTTTCTTTGGAAGTAATTGTTGGTCTCAATGTTTTGTTTGGATGATCAACTTAGAAAAAAACAAACATTATTTTAACAATATATGTATGGAAAAATAAAAATACAAAATTATCTTAATACTGTTGTACAGGAGAAACTGCAAAATGGAACACAATATATTATAGGCTTATAGTTTACATAGGCATAACTTAATGCACTTTAAAAGTTTAAATAACACTGTTTAAATGATATTGGCATGTCTTGTCTTTATTTCTGTGGGGGTTTTTTTCTTTCTACCTTATGGACCAGACTTCGGTAACTGTATCACAGTTGTCCCATAGATACCAATGAGAGAAATGCTATTCACTAACCAGAACTATATTTCTCTCTTCTAACAATATCCAGCCCATAGTGTAAAAAAAACAATAACCCTACTTTTTCAAAATTACTATTGGTCCCTAAATGTGTCAGATATATAAAGAGTTAGCAAAACTATATTGACAATGAATGGGTAAAATACGATATTTCTCAGCTTGCCTAAATTGTAGATATTTGTGTTATTTAGGTTATATTTTGTATGTTAGTTTTCAGTTTACTGTAAACAGCCACTTACAGGCTTATTCACTAAACTCCAAATGTTTACCTAAACCTAGGTTTTGTGAATATATCATGTAGACTATTCCATCAGGTAGTGATACAATTTCAAAGAAAACTGAGAATCAAGATGGAAAGTACATTTGCCAAAATACCATTTGAAATCAATATTGCACCATTATATCATTGTGTGTTATTAGGGTAAAGTGAACATGAATTCCTACTTTATCTATATAAAATTTAACTAGATGTTACCTGTTATAATCTCATTTCCCATGATCACTTCAATCCTACTTTCATTAAATATTCATAATCTATAACATATGGTTCCATTTTGAAGTGAGGGGTGGATCTAGATGTGTTTAAACTGATTTTACAAGTAAAAAGTGTCAAAATGTTTTCTATACCAGTATAAATAAACCTTAGTGGATTTGTCACAAGGTTATCAAGGAAGACTATATTGTATTTTAGGACAAGATATTTTTTAACCTGTATTCAGGCACCCATTAGGATGAGATTTAAGAAAATGCCCTGTACTCATGGCATCACTGGTCATGAAAAGTCATGTGATGCCATAATCTATTATATTACTTATGTTTTTTAGAAAACTGCTAACATCTGCTCTAAACAAAATCCCTGATATAATTATAAAGTAAATTTAACCATGCAATTGCAGGCTCCAATACAAGACATGAAACGGATTCTAAATTAATTTTTTTATCCATTCAACAATAGAAAACTTATACAAGGTGCAAATTGGGGATGCGGTGTTGGGGCTCACCAAATATCAAACGCTTATGTGTTTTGTGCCTCTTGGGCACTTCCTCAGAGTCCTTTTTTTCTATTTTTGAATGGATTGAAATAAAAAAACAATTATTTTTATTTTTGGACTATACTGCTTTCTTTGGACTTCGTTTCATTTCCTGTATGGAAGCCAGCAAACCCATGGTTAATTGTACGTGCAGAGTGAAAGTCTAAGGTATATTGATAGTTCTTAATTTGTATGGTGGGGAAGAACTTGTATAATTATAAGCTATCTAAATATCCCTGATTATATCCTTGCACGTGCTTCAAACGTCTTCATATAGTTGCATAGTTGACCTTTTTTCCATTGTTTTGCGTCATTTTTGTGAAGAAAACCCAAGCTTATGTACAAATACAATTGTACTGTGTTTACAGTTTACTGATATTCCACAAATTCATTTCTTATAAAGAAATCTTTTATATTTCTTTGTTTTTTTATTACAGCAATATTTACAATGGCTCAAATGAATGTAATGCATAGTTTCCTCCTCCTAGTTTTCCAGTTCTCCAGGTTTCAGAGCAGTCTTTGTATTCTTGTCCAAGCAATCCCATAATTCCACTTTGGGCACTTCCTGTTTCCCGTGTTAAAAGAAAAACAACAAAAAAAAAATCTTCCATCTTGAAGATTTCTGGAAATACTGCAAATGAAGACAGAATAAGGCAGCAGGGCAGCTCATTGTCCGCACATCTCTAGTCTTTCAGAGCATTCCACCTTGATCAGATACTCTGCTTAACAAGTCCACAGCAGAACAAATTGTTAAAAGTTTTCTGAGGCAATAGTCAATGCCCTGAGTGTTAATGTCTTTGAAGTGCAGAAAATCACCAGGCTTGCAAAGGACACTGAATGAGAAAGAAAAAAAAATACATATACATATTTAATTGCTGAGCTTACATTATGAGACGTTAGCACAATTTGAGAAAATTATTTTATGGTACTACTAAATGAATTTTATTGCAGCACTACTTAGTCATAAAATATCCACATATGTCCTTCATTTCACACAAAGTTAAAAGATTGCATGTCTCCTTGGTGTAGTTGGTGCTTTTAATTACTACTTATAAATAGCAGTAAGGTAAGACTGTTTAACACTTCTCCCTGTATACAAACATCAATAGTAAAACACAAGCGGCCTTGAAGTATTCTCTCAGAACAAATACTGTTGGGCTAAGATAAGGAGACGCCAAGAAGATCCTATGATGCGTCATTAAAAACGGACGTCCAGTCACTGATTGTTTGCCTATGCTGTAAAATGGAGTTCAAGAGAGATTATATGAATGTACTCTTAAGTATTGTTTAACTATTGCTTATTATTTTTGTGTACTATCAATTCATTTCTATAGAATGATAACCAGAAATAAGTTTGTGTAACATGTATGTATAAAATATTTATATTTTTATATATATCTAAATCTAGAATTTGAATTTATGTTAGCATCTTCTAAAGGCCATTTAGTTATCCATGAAGTTATCCTTCAAGTATTTAAAAAATACTTTTCGTACCCTCCCCCAAGAGACATATACAGAAACTACCTCCAAGTCAGACATCTAGGGACTAGATTTATAAACTCAATACACTGAAGGTTGTTAGCAATTTGGGACCGTTGGATTTTCATAAGGTGAGCTCATGGTGTGAGTTTAAGTCCACACTAAAGTCAGTAGGGGATAAACTAAGGGTAGGTACAAACAAAAGTAAGGATGACTCATCTTACGAAAGTGCGAGAACAATGCAGCATTTCTTGTTTAATGTGTATTAATACTTATTAAAACATCTGTCGAGAAGGAATAAATTCTAGAATCACCTGCAGTGGATTTTGCAACAGTAGAATTTCAAATGAGTACGTCCTAAAGAATTTCAATGGGCATCCACATACTGTATGTGAAAATGTGTCAGACCTAAATATGTTCACACCTAAGTAACATATATAAGCAGTTAGTGCACACAATTACATGGTTATTGAAATGTAAGGCTAAAGTAGCTGAACTGGAAGCAAAGCTGCCTTACAGTATTTTTCTGATTTGGTTATTTTGACCTTCAATTTGAAATTCACTTTTGAATTCTCACTTCTAATAATCCTGTCACAGCTTATTCTTTCCGTGGTTTTAATAAGACATTCAATAAACTTCTGCTTTTCAAGACTCCTCTTATTTACCAAGTTACTCTTTATGGTTTTAAAATGAAAGATTAAGGCTGTTCTATGTTTTCTAGAAAATTAAAAACCAAAATCTGAGAATAGCAAACATAGTAACCGTTCAACATATGAACAAAAAAAAAAGTAAAACTAAAAAAAACTCTATAGCAGCTACAGTAAAATAGATATTGAGCTGTAATTCACACTTTCAAGACCAGTCATATTCCATGCCATCATTCCAATCTAGTCCCTAAACGCCCTGCAATATAATAATACTCAAAGCACATCGGTTTACAATAAATAAAATGGGCAATCTTTTTTTTTTTTAGTATTACCCCAAATATATTGTACATATACTGTACATACGGATCGGTTTACAGACAAATGTCATCGTTTAGAATTTATATCATACTAAAAAATGATCAACAGAAAAAAATATCAAAAAGTCTATAAAGCGGTGCAGCAATATCTTGTTCTGCGTACATTACCCAGTGTTTCAGGTATTGTTCAGTCAGTAGTCCTCAAAGAGTTCAATTTTATATTATATTTCTACATAGTATACCTATAATATATGATATCTGTATGTTCAGGAACTGGATTTATATTGAGTACAAACTCAAGATCTAGAATATCGTAATGGGTTGCAACCCTTGGTGCGTTTTGATTAGACAATTATGTCCTGCATTTGTAGGGCTTGTTTCAACAAGCATCAAAGTCTGCTTGGGTTAGATAGAATAATTAATCAGGTTTTGTTAGGGCTGAGTGCCCAGCAGATGGATTGATAAGTCCTTTCAAGGAAATAGTATTCCAAGGAGTCTAGATGTGCTTGATTGCCTGACTGATTAAGATTTGTGAGTTTAGATAAATGTTATTTTTCCTCACTACAAAGACTGGGAAACCTAAAGGGAGCTGAGAAGCAGGAAAACGTGGAATTACATTTTCAGTATTCAGTTCGTCGGGCACTAGCAACATAAAACAGGTCATGCATTAAATATTACTATCTTTGCTTTTTGATAGGTTGAAATATCCCTGAACTTTCTCAGGCATTTCTCCACACAAATGTTTGTTATAATCTTAGGTCTGCTGCACACTATAAGTCTCCGGCATATTGGCCAGCATATGCCTAGTGTTTACAAATGCCTATATATTAAATTGAAATTAATTATGGTTTACTAGCCTATTTTTTATTAAAAATTGTTATACTTTATTTAAAGATGTGCCATGAATTACTTTGTAAGACAATAAGTGATAAGCATAACCAGTAACGCACGTTTTCAGTAATACTTTACGTAACAAAATAATGATAACATAACTGGCTTTATATAACAATTTTGTAGAATTTATGGAAAATACTACAATCACATACCTCATAGTTTTCCATTACTATAAGGTGTGCAGTGGCCTACTTGCTAAACTGTTTAGAATGTTTGACCAACAAAGACACGGCTGAAAAAAATATTAAGTTTGAAAATATTTTATTTTTCTTTCTATTTGACTATACTCGGGGCCTGTCCACTGAACATGGAGTTATGTAGAGCTGACAAGGTGGTTTATTCACTAAAATATCAAACCACCACCATTCTATTTCTGATTAATATACCCCTAAGAGCTTGGAAAATACTATAGGTACAGTCTGGACATCTTATCTGAATCATTAAAGGAATAAAGCAAAATGGAAATTGACACAGGGCATTCTAACATTCCAGCTTTTTATGTACAGTTCTTATCAAAACTGGGAGCTGTGACAAAATCCTCATGCAAACTGTATTTCACATTCAAGGTTGGCTCATGTTTATCACACAATCAATAAGTGTGACAAATGTTCCCATGTATCTCTAAACTATGCAGTCACTTTTCCTCCCCTCCAAATACTTCAAATGATTACATTACTTTACACAATCAATTTATTTCTTTTTTATAAAATTGAATTGTTTGTAAAACAGGTACAATAAAACCTAAACAGCACTCTTCATATGTAACAGTAAATTGAGGTAATATAATTTGGAGGCAATCAGATGACATATGTGGATGAATTTCACTAAATCTGAAATAATTTGATCACAAAACAAAATGATCAGAATCAAACAAGAATAAAAGCAGCAGCAAATTATGTGAAAAAAACCCTGAATTTGGCTAGGCAAATTATTTTTTTTTTTAACTGGTAGTATATCTAATATCAAATTGCAAAAGCTGCAGATCTCTTTTCTGAAGCCTTGGCAAAACCCTCCCCTTCTGACCCACCTAGATTTTCTGGGTCTGTCCAATCACAGACTTCCCAATGCAGCACAGTGAGAAGTCTTTGCAAGGTAGGTTCTCTGGACAATTGATGCCTCTTGAGTGTAGATCCACTGAAGTAACAGGAGCAGTTGTCTGACTGACAGTCAGGGTGTGTAACGAGGCTAATTTATAAAAGTCAAAGGTTACCTCTTTTTAATTTTTAATTTATAAAATTGCCAGTTTCTATAGAAATCTGCACTTTTTGCAAAATGAAAACAATAGGACACACTCTTTACACATAAAACACTTCAGTAAGCAGACGTGCTTTAGGGGTCTGGAGTGTACCTTATAAGTGGGAGTCTAAATTTTGGGTAAAGTATTGAAAGAGGCTCTCATCTCCTGACCATTGATATAAAAACTTTAAACATCCACACCCTAATTGATTTTTCGTCACCACCACACTTCACATTGTGTCAAACAGCAAAATTGATTAACTCAAGTGGTATCTAATCTTGTGAAAGTGATTAGATCCAGTTAAAAATGAGTCAACTTTATTCATCCAAATAACACTTCTCACCTGTTTATTTGAAGTCATGTTTGTTAATGTACTGATGCTGCTGGTGTCCGTGACTACCATGGCTGACGGAAATCGGGATGTGTGTGAATACTGGGGAGGCTCCTGCTTGTGTGAATACACTACAAAGATTAAAAAAAAAAAACATTGAAGTTATATTTTCTATATTTTATATTTAAAACAAAGTCTACAGTTTATTGCTGATGTTATTTACTTAATTACAATATGTCATATTATGAATATAAAACTAAACTCATCCAAGTTTTATTGCCAAAAATTTAAAGGGGAAGTGACACATATTTTTGCCCATATTTTCTAAAATAAGCAATAAACAATAGAAAGCATACTGTACAAATTTTGTCTATATCAGTCTTAGAGCTTTACTGATTTAATACTAAACAATATTGCAGTTTTTCCCATATTTGTCTTGGCCAGTAATCAGTTTATGGTGAATAAATTTAGCATATTAAAACAATAATATCATACCCAGATTTGTTTTCCTGCCTCAAAAAATGTAGTTATTAACCTATTTCCATTCAGGAGTATTAGGTGCAGTATCGACAAGTAAGAAAATAACTGGTATGTACATAATCATAGAGTACTTACTGTGCGAATTCTGTAGTTGAGTCACTGTGGCCATAAATGGCTGTTGTGCCATGTGACCAGGCGACTGCTGCATGATTTGCTGTTGATGGGGATTGTGAAGCTGCTGTGAAAACTGCACCGACTGTAAGGCTGCCAGGCTCCCTGCCACACTGTTTATGACTGGTACACTCTGTGCCTGGGTAGTGTTCAGATCTATAGGATACACCATTACAATATATTAATACATTGTTTTTACAGTGTCAGTACAAATAATGACATTTTAGAAGCCCTTGTACAATCTTTACCCGAAGAATTATTCTCAAAACAAGGAGACGTGGCAAACTGTTTACTTGCCTATTTAAGATAAAAAAAAAAAAGTAAAAAAAAAAAAGTATATATATCTATATATATCTATACATATATATATATATATATATATATATATATATATATATATATATATATATATATATATATATATATATATATATATATATATATATCAAACTTAGCAAACTGCTTCTTGCTGTTTAGAGAATAAACTCTCCAATTATTTCCCTTAATTCACAGAAATTAAATAATAGTGTGAATTACTGGGTAATCACAATACAATGCTTGCCTTTCTCTAATACTGAATATCTCTTTTTTTTCCAATACTGAATTTAAAATGTTAACATTTTATGTGAAGCAAAAGCACTGCTTTTAGGTTTCTTTTTTAAACTAAACAAGATATTTTAAAAATATAACGGACTCTTCATATGGATTTCCCAAATTGAGAGGCTTAATCCATGCATTTCTACTGTGCTTCTATAAGTTAGTGTGTTTCTTTAATGTAACATTATCAGAGGTTGTGAGGTTTTGTGTTCAGAAACAAGTACAAATAAATGTATGGAGATCCACATTGCTCAACACATTAAAGGGACACTCCAGGCACCCAGACCACTTCTGCCCATTGGAGTGGTCTGGGTGCCAACTCCCAGGGTTCTCAAGCTTCGAATATACACCATTGACTACAACCCTCTGTTGCTGAGTGACCGGCAACAGAGGGTTGTAGTCAATGGAGTACCTCAGGGATCTGTACTTGGACTCATTCTCTTTAATATTTTTATTAGTGATATTGCAGAAGGTCTTGATGGTAAGGTATGTCTTTTTGCTGATGATACTAAGGTATGTAACAGGGTTGATGTTCCAGGAGGGATAAGCCAAATGGCAAATGATTTAAGTAAACTAGAAAAATGGTCAGAGTTGTGGCAACTGACATTTATTGTGGATAAGTGCAAGATAATGCATCTTGGACGTAAAAACCCAAGGGCAGAGTACAGAATATTTAATAGAGTCCTAACCTCAACATCTGAGGAAAGGGATTTAGGGGTGATTATTTCTGATGACTTAAAGGTAGAGCAGCAGGAAATGCTAGCAGAATGCTTGGTTGTATAGGGAGAGGTATTAGCAGTAGAAAGAGGGAAAAGTGCCCATGTCATTGTACAGAACACTGGTTAGACCTCACTTGGAGTATTGTACGCAGTACTGGAGACCATATCTTCATCAGGATATTGATACCTTAGAGAGCTTTCAGAGAAGGGCTACTAAACTGGTTCATGGATTGCAAGATAAAACTTACCAGGAAAGGTTAAAGGATCTTAACATGTATAGCTTGGAGTAAAGACGAGACAGGGGGAATACGATAGAAACATTTAAATACATAAAGGGAATCAACACAGTAAAGGAGGAGACTATATTTAAAAGAAGAAAAACTACCACAACAAGATGACATAGTCTTAAATTAGAGGGACAAAGGTTTAAAAATAATATCAGGAAGTATTACTTCACTGAGAGGGTAGTGGATGCATCGAATAGCCTTCCAGCTGAAGTGGTAGAGGTTAACACAGTAAAGGAGTTTAAGCATGCGTGGGAGAGGCATAAGGCTATCCTAACTATACGATAAGGCCAGGGACTAATGAAAGTATTTAGAAAATTGGGCAGACTAGATGGTCCGAATGGTTCTTATCTGCCGTCACATTCTATGTTTCTATGTTTAACTCCCACCACCCTTAAAGGGACACTATAGTCACCAGAACAACTACAGCTTATTGAATTTCTTCTGATGAGTAGAATCATTACCTTCTGGCCTTTTGCTGTAAACACAGTCTTTTCAGAGAAAATGCAGTGTTCACATTACAGCCTAGTGATAACTTCACTGGCCACTGCTTAGATGGGTCATGGCTGCCTAAAATGTATCCAGACATTCAGTATCTTCTCCCTCTGCATGCAGACACTGAACTTTCCTCAGATAGATTAATTGATTCAATTCATCTCTATGAGGAGATGCTGATTGGCCAGGGCTGTTTTTGAATCATGCTGGCTCTGCCCCTGATCTGTCTCCTTGTCCATCTCGGCCAATCCTATGGGGAAGCATTGTGATTGGATCAGGCCACCACTTCTGATGATGTCAGCAGACAGCTTGTTTTTCTGAGCCAAACAGCATCCAGATCTACAGCTTCAGGCTTGAATACAGTAAGATTTTGCTATATTTATGGAGGCATGAGTGAGGGGCCCAGGGGGGCTAGTCGGTGGTTTTAACACTATAGGCTCAGGAACAAATGTTTGCGTTCCTGACCCTATTGTGATCCTTTAACCCTGCAAGTGTAATTATTGCAGTTTTTATAAACTGCAATAATTACCTTGCAGGGTTAAGTCCTCCTCTAGTGGCTGTCTATCAGACAGCCACTAGAGGGACTTCCATATACTTAAAACACGAAAAGTGTTTTAAATGACGCTGGACGTCCTCACGCTATGCATGAGGACCTCCAGCATCGCTGGAATCCCCATAGGAAAGCATTGTGTAATGCTTTCCTATGGGGAGATCTAATGCGCACGCGCAGCCATTGCCGCACATGTGAATTAGGTCTCGCCCGATGGCTGACATCAGCAGGGAGGGGCAGAGCCTGAACCAGCGCAGAGGGACAGCGCACTGGATTCAGGTAAGTCACTGAAGAGGTTTTAACATGGGATGAGGGGTGGGAGGGAGAGAGGCACTGCAGGATTCTGCAGTGCCAGGAAAATGGATATGTTTTCCTGGCACTGGAGAGTGCTTTGTATCTGGTTATCAAACACAGTCAGTAGTTAAATTTCCCAGCCCAGAGCATATAATGTCAGCAATGTTTTTAAGAAGATGATATCCAGTGTTCATTAGGACTTTCAAGTAGATCTGATGTGAAAGTTACAGATGTAAACCTTATTGTTACTTTTGCTGGTGTTTGCATTGGTAGTTTAATATTAACTCAAAATAGAGCATAGTTTCAGGTTGTAAATTAAACAGACACCTACCAAGACACCTACCAACCACTGCATTCAGACTGGACCAAATCCATTCATAAATAAAAACCACTGAGATATTATTTAATAAAAAACATATGCTATATTTCAATATGTGCTACAGCCTAGTATATTAAAAGCAGGACTTCCTCTTTAACCCCTTAAGGACACATGACATGTGTGACATGTCATGATTCCCTTTTATTCCAGACGTTTGGTCCTTAAGGAGTTAAACATGCGGGATTTCAAATTAATAATTTATATTTCTATAGAAGCTTATTAGCAAAGTAGTGAATGGTAAGGGATTCCAACGTGATGGGTAGGATTTCTAACCTCAGTATAATTCCAAGGATCAAAAATACAGGTGTGTCTTGCAATAGATTTGTTTGAGGCCAATATAGCTTCATTATAAAAATCAAACACTTTAAAGGAATACTCCAAGCACCATAACTACTACAACACTATATAGTGGTTATGGTACCAGGAACATCATATTGCCATATCAATGCAATTTTTCAAACCTTTTTAGAAAGTTCTGTCAACTTACCTAGGTCCCCCAGACACATGCACTGCATCCTGTCTAAGCATGGCTGATACAGGGCCAAATTAATAGTCTGGGAGTGCTCAGCTGACATTCTCAGCTGCTTAACACAGTAGAGCTAACTGGATTTTCCTGCAGCAGAGCGCTGAAACTGCAGGAGAACACAGTCATCTGGCATGACCCAGGTAAGGTATCAGACTTTTCTAAAATGGTTTTAAAAATTAGATTAGAATGGTGCCAGGGCACACTAGGCACCATAACAACTACATCAAACTGTAGTGGTTATGGTGCCTCAAGTGTTGCTTTAACTTGTGTGGATGTGCTACCGTAGGTTAGAACATATTGATGTACACTCTTTTTGATTATTATTATTGGTATTTATACAGTGCCAACTTATTCCACAGCACTTTACAATACTGATAGTCTACTTACTTTGTGCTATAGCCATTACTCCAGAGATAGGGGCCATGAGAAGATTCTGAGAATGATGTGGATTTTGATGAACTGACTGGGATAAACTGTGGATATTGGTCAAGGTGCTCACTGGAGGCAGCCCTCCTCCCACAGAAACAGAGATCTAGAATAATAAAAACAATAAGAATATATTACAAGACAAACAAATACACTAGAGAAGTTATGGTGAGAAAACCAAAACAGATATATTTCAACAAATAAAGTCAGAACTATAAAATGATCAGACAAAACATGACAAAAATAATGGGAGGCCTATTGGAAGTATGAACTATGGAGCAGCTATGTGAGTCATTGTATGCAGGCAATTAAGCAGGACATTGGAATAATGTGTGCATAATATGTGTGTGTGTCTGTGTGTTTTATAAAATATTTATATTATAAAACTGATTAGTACAATGGACAAGAAAAGAAAAACTGCTCAACATCTAGATGGAATAAAATGCTGCTTAAACAGTCCTTTTTGTGTCATTTCTACTTGCTCTGAAAGTAATCATCAACCAGTATCCTCTTAGGCAATGAAAGAGCTTGATCTCAATGTGACTACAATCTATCTTTAAGGAGATCCTGGGCAGACAAGGCACATCTTTCTATTGTGTACAGCAATGTAATCAGATAACATTTCAGTGGCTTTTCTTAACACTTTCATCCACTTCCAATCCATTCTTAATACCACTTAGACTCATCTGTCTCACCCAACCATTTATCATCATATTCCATTTTTCCACTAGTCCCTCCACTGTTGCCCTATTTACTCAAGATTAAATTCAAAATACTTAATTTAACCTAATGAGCTCTCAATAAACCTGTTACCCATATCATCCAAACTAGGATTATACAATAATCGATTAAATAGCTTTTAGCTTTATAGTACTCACTAGATAGAGCTACAGCTTCAATAAAGGAAGTTATTTAATTAGTGAAAAACTATATCACTTTCTTCCATGTGTTCCTAAAAGTCTGATAAACTGTTTTAGTGTTCCTGGGGGGACAGCAATTATATATATATATATATATATATATATATATATATATATATATATACACACACAATCTTAAAAAAGGCCCAAGTGGAGCCAAAATGTAGTTTTTTTTCATGTTATCATGAACTACAATAAAATAAAGTTGTTTCCAGGTTGAAGACCTATAAGTGCCATATATATATAAATATATTTATATATATATGGCACTTATAGGTCTTCAACCTGGAAACAACTTTATTTTATTGTAGTTCATGATAACATGAAAAAAAACTAAATTATGGCTCCACTTGGGCCTTTTTTAAGATTAGTTTGACCTTTGGTTTAATTATACTCCCAGAAACTCTTGATGACATTATTTTCCCATAATACATGGTTCACCGTGATATATATCTCTTGAAAAAGACCAAAGGGGGCGAAACGGTGATTGTTTGGAACACGGATATATATATTTTTTACAGCACATTAATCACAAGTAATTTTTTTGAAAGTCCTTTGAGTGGACCCTTTGCCTTATTTCATATATGTAAATATATATATAAACCAAAAATAATGTAAAATAAATTAAGATCAGTATAAATGAACTGGGAACTGTACTGGTTTGGTAACCTGACTTGTAGAATATAGGCAATATTGAAACTGGGAAGAGACTCAAACTTTTTATCGCACTAAATTTTGCAACCTTGTTGTCAACTCACCACAAAATAATATCCTAATAAAAATAACTTAATAGGCTGTATGCACACCGTTTAAGGGTTAAGCAATATCACAGACTCCAGAAATAAACAAATAATATGTAAAATACGCAATAGTAGTAATAAACATTAAAGGGACATTTTGACGACTGAATCTGCAAAAATGCTCTGCCATGTCCAGTTAGAAAATAAATAATTAATTATACAGAGAAGTTTATTAAAAGAAAAACACTTTTCTTGTTACTTTTATATTTTATTTTCTACTTTTTTCCCCCTTAATTGTACTATGTTCATTACTTGTTTGTTTTCAAAAATGATATTGTTATGTTTTATAAAAATGTATCAATAAAAACTATTTGAAAAGAAAAAAAATACTTTTTATTTTTATAACAAGAGATGGATGGTTATCTTGCTGCCCTATTCATGATGATAAAGGGGATATGTTATCAACACGAACAACAGATATCAGCACAGAAAATAAATACAATTCTACCCACGTTTCTGCATTGCAAGGGATTTAATCAATAAAAAGAGAACAGCTCTTTGTTAAATTTGCTGGTCATTAAATCATGGATATTTTAACATTATTGAAGGATGGGGTCAAAGCACGGCTTTTTAGTGTAAATGGTGTGTGCTCACAATTTTACTCTGTCCTACAATGCTTCATTGTGTACAGCTGACCCTGTGAGAAACTAAAAGGGAAAAGAATCTTGTTTATTTTGCCTGTGTGGTTCTCTTATCTTATCAGTCCTGCAGCTACAATAGGCCAGGTGTACTCACCAATTTACCATCAGGTGAAAGCATGTTATGGCCAGCATCCAAGGTCGCTGGAGAAACTTGCTGTAAGGCAGACTGGCTGGTCACCATAGCATTGTTTCCATGGTGACTAATAGTTGACGATGAAGTGACTTCACTGTTTCCTTGCTGATTATATCTCACCCCTGCAAAATCAAATATGTGTATAAATCCTACTTTTCCATAGAACATAGAACACTGGAGATATTGTGTTTCAATATTCCAGGAGTTAATTATTCTACAGAAGACTGATTGGTTATACTCCTTACGTAACAATATAAATAGCAGCCTGAAACCTACAAATCTAATCAGTCTGATCATTCAAAACTATCAAACCAATAAACAAGTACAGGGTGAGTAACAATTCTGGAATCCCTCAAACGACATGCTGAAAGGACCACTAAACTCACCCAGATCACTTCACCTCAGTGAAGTGGTCTGGGTGCAGTAACCCAGTGAATTTAACCCTTCATTGTAAAATATTGCCATTTTGTAGAAACTGCAATGTTTATATTGAAGGATTATATACACCTCTAGTGGATGTGATACTGACAGTCAAACCCGATCCTGAAACCAAATGCTGCTCATTTTAGCATTTGATAGGAGGAGCGCAGTATTAGATTGCACATGCATACCTCTAAACAAATGAGAAGCATAAATTGGACAAGATCAGGGGAGACATCAGTAGGCATACTGATGTCTTTAGAGGCTGAGTAGGCATATAAATAAGGGGGGTAGTCTTTAATTAACTTTTTTGTTTAAGTGATAGAAGGTATCCTGTAGTCCCATTAAGTTATTTTCGAGACTATAGGCTCTCTTAAATGTTAGCTGTTATGATGAGATTACGGAATATAACGTATTTCAATGATGAGATAAAATAATGTGATGAGATAATTATAAGCTTTTCTGAGTGTTTTAAAGGATTTTTGACACAACACAGAATAACAACATCTGATACCCTTATAATCTCTTTATGAACAATTGGTTCCCATGAGCGGTATTCATATGATAAATCACTCAGGAGAGAATGACAAAGTGCCTGAAATAGTCAGTTAATTTACTGAACAGTAGGTTGTGGTGAGTTGACAAACGTCTTGGCAAAATAGGCAAATTTCTAAATGTTCCCATATCAATAAATATTCTAGTGCTAGTCATATGAGTTACAGTGTGGCACATTACTTGGTGTTGGGTAATTATTATGACTGTATTACGACCACTTTAGTATTTTCTACTTTCACTAGATGTATTTACTATCATTTCAAAGTAAGTGTTCATATTTATTCTTTGCATTTTTCACACAAAAACTGCCCTTCCACCGATGGTATCATTGTCATTATACATTTTGCTGCTCTAAAACACTCATATTTGTATTCAGCGATGTCTCGTGAGGACAATAGTATTCCCCATGTACAGGTTTTACGGAGTTTTTGACAGTTACTGGATCAAATATTTGGCTTGCACATAACATTCTCTGAACGTTCTGAGTTGTCAGGAATGTCTCCCACATAGTAATGAATAAAATTGCATAATTTTGTAAAAATAATACAAACACACACACACACACTTATGGGAATTTATTAATTATAAATGTTTTGTTGGGGTATCTGTCTGACAAAACAGACCCCCTATAGTCAATCTTGCAATCCATCTAATCCGAGTCATGTGATCACATTTTCATCACGTTTAGACGACTCGGATCGGCAGGATTGGCTGCAGGGGCACTGCCTCGGTTGTCAGGCAGTCCCCTCAATTGGATGCAGTGTGGAGGATTAGTATGCAAACCAGATGGATGGACCAATCGTTACAGTGTTAAATTCATATTTCTTCATTAATAATTGTTATCGGAGTCATAGGAAACTTCAAAAAACAAGTATGCACAGTCTTCCTTGGCATTTAACTTTGTAAGCCAATTCTAAGGGGTGAGGTACCACCATACAGTCGATAGCAACTCTATGTTTTCTGTCAATCATTGTAGACACATGTGCCTATCCACACATTTAGATTTTCATTCCATTTGCCTTGACCCATCTTTACTTTCTGAGTAAAAAGGAAAACCCTCTGCTCTACCTTGTTCCCATTCACAGACATCATCCTATCTGTCAATAACTAGCAAGCAGAGAGACAAAGAGGTAGGAAAATAATTACAGATAAATCTTTAGTTTTGTCTTAAAGCACTAAAAACAGCAGGAAAATAGTTAGCAATAATATCCATACTCTTGATGACTTATGCACTAGCACTTCCTAATTCTAGTTCATTAATTTCCAGTAGCATATTATAACAACTGTAATAGTTCCAATAAATTTTCTAGTGTTAATCCAATAGACAAGAACCTGCAATTCAATCATATAATTGTATGTTCTGACAATTGTATACTACTGTTGAAATGTTTTGAAAATGTATTACACTAACACACAATAGGGCATAAAACCTAAATGCAATCCATACATTTTTTACAAGCAAGTAGTAGCACGATGTATGTTTTTATACGAATATATGTTTACCACAATTCACACTTTTGTGTCATTTCAATGACGGTAAATTAAGAAACAAAAGCTAAAATGTTTACTGTCTGAAGGAGTCAAAGATTTACTGATTTAACTAAATAAGCAACAACCCGTGTGTATGGGCTACACGTTCAACTAAAACTGAGACAAAAACAATAAATACATATTACGAAACAAAGAAGAAATCACATTGAAACTCTAAATAAAACAAATCTTCTTACTTCTCTCAATATTTCTTTATATGTCTGTGCATTAATAACCTATAAGTCACTTGGAAGACCTGCTAAGACTAGGCTATTGGTGGCTGCTTATCTAAGAATGCTCTTCAGACAGGTAAGTGGACTTTCACCAGGGGAAGTGTCCTAGCTATGAACAGAGTAAACACGAATTAAGCCAAGCACAGTCGCAAACACATTCTTCTGCTGTATTTCTAACCTCATGCACAGTCTATTCCAATTTATGCTTGGTTAAAAAAAACTTACAACATTATTTAAACAGGAGATTGAAAGATAAATGGGGCATAGATTTGTCATATAAATTATAGGCAGTAGCTAACTGGGAAGTTAAAGTGGATACTCTGGTTTCTATTACAGGAACACAACAATGTAGATTAAGCAAGGAGATTTAAAAAAATATATATTTAAAAAGTCAGGAACAAAGTGATGTTGAAAATAATTGTGAGGTCTTCTATTTACTAAAGGCAAGTCAGTTACAAATTCGCATCTTTTAGTTTGTGCGGGGACTTTTAAGTTCTTGATTTTACAATTACTGAGAATTTTTCCGCCTGCACATACAAAGAATATCTAAGAATGAATCTGTGCACGAATATAGCGCTAACCTGAGCATATATACAGAACACAAAACCGAGTCACTGTCATAAATTATTCTAATGACTCTATAAAATGCTGCACACAACGTTCTGATAAATATGGAGGCTCTCTTAAAAGCTATATAAATGGTCATGCCATGATTTCAGCATGAATTTATCTGGTAAGTGCATTTGGAAAGTTTAATTGACCAATGACAGCAGAATGGCGATGGTGGGACCTGCAATGGACTTTTTTGTCTTGTATACAGTGCCATTTGTCTGAAATCATCATGGAAGCTGTAGTTTTAAAACATCTGGGGATCTACCTTTTGGGAACCCCTGCTTTATAAATAGTAAAATATTTAAAACTGAACAGCTTCATAGCTTTTATCATAATATATATATACACACACAGTATCTCACAAAAGTGAGTACACCCCTCACATTTTTGTAAATATTTTATTATATCTTTTCATGTGACAACACTGAAGAAATGACACTGCTACAAGGTAAAGTAGTAAGTGTACAGCCTGTATAACAGTATAAATTTGCTGTCCCCTCAAAATAACTCAACACACAGCCATTAATGTCTAAACCGTTGGCAACAAAAGTGAGTACACCCCTAAGTGGAAATGTCCAAATTGGGACCAAAGTGTCAATATTTTGTGTGGCCACCATTATTTACCAGCACTGCCTTAAGCCTCATGGGGATGGAGTTCATCAGAGTTTCACAGGTTACCATTGGAGTCCCCTTCCACTACTCCATGACGACATCATGGAGCTGGTGGATGTTAGAGACCTTGTGCTCCCCAACCTTCCATTTGAGGATGCCCCACAGATGCTCAATAGAGTTTAGGTCTGGAGACATGCTTGGCCAGTCCATCACCTTTCCCTTGAGCTGCTTGTCTTCAGCAAACTGTTTGCGGGCTTTCTTGTGCATCATCTTTAGAAGAGGCTTCCTTCTGGGACGACAGCCATGCCCACCAATTTGATGCAATGTGCGCCGTATAATCTGAGCACTGACATGCTGATCCCCCAACCCTTTCAACCTCTGCAGCAATTCTGTCAACATTCATATGTCTATTTCCCAAAGACAACCTCTGGATATGACGCTGAGCACGTGCACTCAACTTCTTTGGTCGACCACGGCGAGGCCTGTTCTGAGTGGAACTTGTCCTGTGAAGCCGCTGTATGGGCTTGCCCAAAGTGCTGCAGCTCAGTTTCAGGGTCTTAGTAATCTTCTTATAGCCTAGGCTATCTTTATGTAAAGCAACAATTCTTTTTTTCAGAGAGTTCTTTGCCATGAGGTGCAATATTGAACTTCCACTGACCAGTATGAGAGAGTGTAATAATACCAAATTTAACACACCTTCTCCCCATTCACACCTAAGACCTTGTAACACTAACGAGTCACATTACACCGGGGAGGGGAAATGGCTAATTGGGCCCAATTTGGACATTTCCACTTAGGGGTGTACTCACTTTTGTTGCCAACAGTTTAGACATTAATGGCTGGGTGTTGAGTTATTTTGAGGGGACAGCAAATTTACACAGTTATACAGGCTTTACACTTACTACATTACATTGTAGCAGAGTGTCATTTCTTCAGTGTTGTCACATGAAAAGATATAATAAAATATTTACAAAAATGTGAGGGGTGTACTCACTTTTGAGAGATACTGAATATATATATAGTTACGACTTCATCAATTAAATCATATCTTGGTAAAATTAGATGGGGGTACATCAGGAATGATATTACATAACTCACTGCAAGTTAAAAGGGAACAAGGAAAATAAGGCTTATAGCTTGTCTGCCAATAACAACAGTCATATGAGTTGTAATGAGCAAGAATGAAAACTGTAAGCAATACAGCGTCATGATTTCAGAACTGATCTATCAACTGCAGTTTCAAATAGCTTAATTGGAAGAGTCCATTTCAATAGAGAGGAAAGGTTTTCTCAACTCAACTATCATATTTTTGCCTATGTCAGTTTGTTTAGTGAATAGACTTATCTGTTAGATTGAAAAACTCAGTATTATATGGACTATTTGATAAGATCTGTGACTTCTAGGAAATGTTATTTCCTTTCCTAACGATTACATAAAATACATGTAAAGAGGTTTAGGAAGTATCAGGTATTGCTCTGGCAACAGATCTGATACAGCTTTATCATGTCAGCTCAAAGTACAACAAACAGAGCACAAAATTCAGTCTCTTAACCTGACATAAAGAGAACCGAAAACCCCAGAAAATAAGCATAGTAGCTCCATACTTTCAATGTGATTCATTCTGAGTTAGACCCAAACAAAAAAAATTACAGAACATTAGAAAATAGTGCCAAACTGTGTACCATCTTTGAGTCTCAGGTGTGTACACTGGTGACTGGCTTCTCTCACCGGATAAATTTTTCCAGAAAGCACAGTGCGTGAGCAGCATTAAAGCATTTTATTGTAGTGGTGAAAGGGACAGTGTAGGTGCAGTGTCCCTGTCCCCTTTAGTCCTGCTATGTAAAACAGGACTAAGACTGCCTCTAGTGGCTGTCTACCAGACAGCCACTGGAGGCGCTTCCCTGATTCTAACAAAGTTTGACTCCTTTAAATGACGCTGGACGTGCTCACGCTCTGCTTGAGAAAATCCAGCGTCATTGAGAACCCCATAGGAAAGCAATGAGGCAATGCTTTTCTATAAAGAGGGCGTAATGTGCTCGCAGCGCTCTCTGCGCATTTGGTCTCCTTGTTGCATGACGTCGGAGGAGCCTGCACACCGACCAAGAGCTGAGGGAAAGATTTGTATTCCTAACACTATATAATCTGTTTAAGGAGCAAGAGGATTTCAGCTACAGTACTTCTTTTTGTCAAACTGGTTTTGAGCATCTTAAAAAATTCAGGGGCTCTTCTGAAACTCAAATTTGGAATGTGGAACATGTGGAAGTTTGATAATTGCATTATCTCTACAACATTGTTCAAATTTGAATTGAATTGAAAACCGGAGTATGTCTCAATTTGTCAGTGCTGAATAAGTTTACCGGCATATTGCACACCAGACCCAACCACTACAATATGTTTGGAATTTCTCATATGAAATCCAAAGCTGAGAGGTGGGCTTTTTTTCTGTTTGTTTTTCTGCCAAACCACTTGAAAATATCATGAAACCTCATAAACCTGAAAGAAATTTCCCTTAAAGTATTTTCAAAATATGTAAAGACCCAAAAAAGTGACAGTCTGTATTACATATTACATAGTAACATGGCTGAAAAGAGACTTGGGTCCATCAAGTTCAGCTTTCCTCACATATGTTTTTGCTGTTGATCCAAAAGAAGGAAAAAAATCCAGTCTGAAGCACTTCCAATTTATCAACAAACTAGGAAAAAATTCCTTCTTGACCCAAAAATGTCAGTCAGATATCTCCTTGTATCACGCAGCTATTACCCCACTAATTAGAAATTATATCCCTGTATGTTATGTGTTTGAAAGTATTTATCCAATTGTTGTTTAAACATCTGTATGGAATCTGATAAAACCACCTACTTATGCAGAGAATTCTATATCCTTATAGTTCTTACTATAAAAAAAAAAAAACACTTTTCTTTGCCTTAGATTAAATCTCCTTTCTTCCAGCCTAAATGCATCCTATGTCCTATGTATAGCCCTGTTTAGGAATAGATTTCCAGATAATGGTTTGTATTGGCCCTGAATATATTTGTATGTTATCATAACCCCTCTGAGGCGTCGTGTTTCCAAACTAAAGAGATTTAAATTTTTTAACCGTTTTTTGTAACTAAAGTGCTCCATTCCTTTTATCAATTTTGTAGCTCATATCTGCACTTTTTCTAGTGCCATGATATCCTTCTTTAGAACAGGTGCCCAAAACTGCAAAGCATATTCAAGGTTTGGTCTTACCAGCGATTTATAATGTATCTTTACATCTTTAGAATAGTTCAGAAGCTTAGAAAATATATTTACAAGGTTATTTACTAAAAGTGGGAATTCTTGTCAATTTGATGTAGTGGTTATGGTGTCTAACGATTATCCCTGCAGGCTTTTCAATGTCAACACTGCTTTTTCAGAGAAAAGGCAGTGTTTGCATTGCTGCCTAGGTACACCTCTAGTGGCAGTCACTGAGACGGCCAGTAGAGGTGCCTCCTAGTTCAGTACTGCATCGTGAACGTTCTCCATGGTGTAATGTGCTGATTCAGTGCATGTCTATGTGGAGATGCTGATTGGTGCAGTGAGGAATTTTGCTGCGCATGTGAAATAGCTCCCAATGCATTTTTCTATGGAAAAGCACTGGATTGGCTGAGATCATCAATCTTGATGATTTCAGCCACGGAGACTAGGTAAGTCATGATGCGACCAACATGGCGATAAAGAAAGGGTATGTTAAATCATCTTTTAAATGCAGTCTGAGGGTGGGGGGGGGGTGGATGACCTAAACAGCCACTCCAGTGTTAGGAATACATGTTTGTATTCCTAATATTATAGTGTTCCCTTAAGGTCAAAATAGCTTCTTTTCTCACGTTAGGAAATAATCCAGATAGTAATACTTAAAGCATGCCTAATGTATAGATTTACATGATACTCTGGGCATCTTGTCTTGACCAATAAACTGAAACTCCTTTCCTATCTACCAGATAAAAAACAAAGTACAAAGAACTTTAAGATAAAACTGAGCAATCAGTTTTTGAAAGTGAACCCATGTTAATAAGCAGTAAATAATATAGATAATAATTAAAAGGTTTCTCACCACTATATTATATAACAAAGTAAACCTGTCACTCAAACAAATGTTTAAGACATTAAACCTTTTATCTACAATAGTCAGATTGTAACAAAATTCATAGATAGAGATATACTTTAAAAAAATAAATACTGTTTTCTGTACACAAAACTGTGCTATGTTTGAAATAAACGAACACTCCATGTACCATAACCACTACAGTGTACTAATATGGTTTGACATTTTACCATGGTATGGCGCTAAGGCAATCTTGGCACCATAACCACTACAGCTGTGGATTGTTCTTCTAAACTTAACATTATTGAAGCTCACCAAGAAAATACTTTTCTGATTTGTTTAACAATGTTCCAGTCATGGACCACCAGAATCTTGACTCAGATCCCCTTTATAGGAAAATCTGAATAGAGACATCAGGTGTCAAACAAACCATGTTTTTCTTCAGAATTGAAAACAAAACTAGGGTAAAATTGTTAATTGTTTCGTCACATTTACTTAGTTATCTCTTTACTTGTTTCTATTAAGTATTTTTATTTCCGTTTTGATAAAAACAGCAAGGGAGCCTTGTAATACCACAGAGCTAATTAACACGGAAGTGAGTTTATACCAAACTGGGAAATGTCACACATTAGCATATCACAAGAAGCCCTTTCTATTCAGAACCTTTTACTTTGTTTCCCTGTTTCTCTAGTAGGTACAAGATCACTGAAATGCATATTCTGGTTTGTTCTCACCAGTCTAATCCCCATGTTATACTTTTAAGGTTCTAAGCCTGGAGCATTGTTCCTCAATGCTTCCCAGTAGGGTGTTTTCCACACAGAAGTGTCCTCAGCAAACTTCAAGGCCTGATAATTGCTTTCATATTATTTCATGCCAAATTCCTTTATTTACTTTTGAAAAAAGCTTACAGCAACAAATATGTCTAATGTTGACATATTTAGTGATAAAAGAAAAGTAGCAGGATTGAAAGTACAGTCATTGTTGCAGGATGTAGATGCTGCTAAGTTAACAGATATTTTGGGAGTCTTTCATCTCTTCCCTTTTGTTTTTAAGGATCGCATAATAAATGATGTTTTTTGAACGTTTATATATGTTGTAAGATATGTTCTTCACAAATATGAAAAAAATGGTTTATTCTAATAAACTCTATCAATATGCAGGACTCCCCATTGTCCCAATTTTGGCGGGACAGTCCCAATTTCAAGGTCTTGCCCGGTGTCCTGATTTTGCCTATCATCAAGCAGCAAATTGCGAGCATATTATTATATGCGCTCATACTACAATGGGCAGTAGGACCATGCATAAAGTTCAGAACAATCAAAGTTACAAAATCAGTTGGTGACAACAGACAAGACAGTAAGATGAGATACACTGATAATCGATTTAAAAAATACAGACAATTTAAAAAAAAAATATCTGTGGAAGAAAGTTGCCGAAATTCTCTCTAACTTAATTATGTTGGGTTAAAAAAAATGCTAATTACTTGACAAGAACCTACAGCTTATAGTTTAATTAAAAAATCTCATTGTACCAGAATAATAGATTTGCTCAAACAGATGTTCTGGAGCTAAAGCCCCATGTAATTTCTGACATTTTTTTTAATTTTGTGATTTGATATTTAGAATATTCTAAATTCTGCACTGACTTCTCTTTGAGCCAACTGCATGAGGTGCACTTATGTTACTGGTACTCAAGGCATTTCAGCAATTGATGTACTCATATCTACTCAAGTATCCCGACATTCAGACTTGTTGAGAGTCCTGTCACAAAAGCTATGACGTCTAGTTTTATGTCCCTTATAAACCTGTTTATTGCAACCAGCCCAACCCACTCAGCAGTGGTTGCAAAGCTCTTATTGCCTCAATAAAACCTGAAAATCTTTTCAACATCAGAATGTACTGACACATGAATGCAGAGGTATACAACAGTAAAATATGTTAGTGCTCAATGCCAGTTATATTCTTTGTACTTTTGCGTTTATCTTAAGTATTCCAAGGTTATTGACATCACTTGTTGATTTTTGTTTTTCAAAGCCATTTAGGTATTCATTTCACCAACAATTTTTAAAATAAAATGTTTAACTGATGTGCCATTATATGTATATTAAACACATAAAGCCTAAGCATTTTTTCCTATAAATTATATTAGTGTTAAAAGAAATCACATATTTCATATTTGTACTATAGAGTCAAATGGGTAGACCATTTTAAAAACATTCTTCTACTCATTCTGAATATGTACATACACAGTGATAGATAAACAAATCTGATCAATTATTTTGTGCTCATTTTTTTTTATCGCATAATTTTTTCAATTATTTTGAAAAGCACATTTAGAAGCATATGATAATATGACTTTTTTTTTTTTATTCTTTATTTTTCAAGATGCTTCGTTTTAACAACATTTCAATAGATAATCGGTATACTTTGTATGATTGGATAATATGGCATTTTTAAATATAATAAAGGACAAAATGTAAATTTTAGGAGGCAGAATGATACTCTATATTTTTACCTATAACATAAATGACCAGGTTTTTATTAAGAGGTTTTAGTATTCATAGCTGCCTTTTTAAATTTAGTGTAGAAATAGCTAGCAATTCCACTGAAAATGTCTATGTTTAAAGTAAAACATTTAGGAAAGGCTATCCTCGGTCTTTCTAAAAGCATGTCGCCAATAATGTACAAGTTATGACTACTTGGGATACAGCAAGGCAGAATATTTGTACTTTATAACATAAATTCAGAATAATAACTTGCTGATCTCTAATAAAACTCCACTTCAGACTCAAATATATAAAACAAACTAGGCTTCATATAATAATTTTGAAAATCTAATTTAATTTATTTACATAGTCTTTGGAAATTCAGAACATAACTTAAGAAGATATTTACAATTCAAATATAATCATTTTAATGTCTTGTAGTCGGAGACCTTAGGATGGGTTTGTTTAAATTAACCCTGTCATGGTTTTTTTTCCCAGTTTGGTTTGACTTTCCTTATGCCCCCTGTACCTTAATGATTGTTTCCCCCACACCCTTGCCATTATTTATGTTTAGTATTGTTTTATTCCTTGGTCCAGATCTCAATATCTGGGTGAAGCCATTTTGTTCTCCTCTGCCTATGTCTCTGCTGTTTGCCCTTCTGTGGGATTAGTTTTAGTGATGAATTGTTGGTAAATTTGCTTGGCATCTGAAACGCGAACCTTGCCTAAGCTCCACCCATTGTAAAAAATTTTAAACTTGACTGCTAGACAAGAGGAAAAAAGTATTTTCTGTAAACTAGGGCGCTTGGGAAAAGATAAGAGATTTGGACACAGTGAGCTATATAGAAGCAGATTAGATAAAGTTTATTTTTGGTGATAGGACCACTAGGTAGGTTGGGTGAATTTAAAAATAGCTTTATTTAGCATTATGGAATGTAATTGTGAAAAGCTAATTCATAATTAATATTCACAATGTTTCAACTATTCATCGATTATCTATTTAGTTATACATCGATTATCTATTTAGTTTATATTAGTGTGCAAGTTTTATTAATTCATGTAACAGCAAGCCGAGCAGATTTGACAACAAACTTGTAATTTAGGACCAAAAATGACCAATCTGGGCAGGACATATCTTCCAATATTTTAAATTGCAAAAAAAGCACACTTACAGTATAATCTGGTAAAGTGAAAATTGTCAGGAATTCAAAGTAAATTTCAAAATCAAAGTAAAAGTTGACTTGGAGAATTTTTCCAGTTCAACTTAAATTTGAAATTCACTTTGAATTTTCAACAATTTTCATCTTAGTAAATAACCTCTATAACGTTTATAATACCAATTACAGGGAGTGTAATTCAAGTACATTTTAGATAAACTCATGGCAGGCCTCCCGACCAGTCCAATCCCGATTTTCTGCTTCTGCCCCGCCAGACTGATTTTGTTCCCAGGTTTCTCACTTATGGGGACATCATGGAACTGTCCCCAACAAGCATAGTGAAACATTAGTCTTACTCATGCTATGATCAGGGCATTATGACCCTGTAGAGAGCTCTCTGCTTATTTCACCCTTGGTAGGTCGGCCTACTTTATTGTCAGGCAGCCTGACATGCATTCACGAGAGGCTGAGTAAAAATTCTATGGGTAGACCTGAACTCTTTTGGCACAGCTGGGGATATGGACCCTATCACTGGTCCTCCTTTTACACCTTGCACCAGCGTCCCGCTTCACAAGATGCCGAAGTTGGGAGGTAACTAAAAGCAGTTTCCTTGATTAAAACAGCAAATTACAAGTAAAAAGCCTTGTGTCTATACAAACTAATTTCTAAATGCATTTACTATAAAGGCCCACTTAGAATAGTTTAATATAGTCAGCATAGCTTTATATGTACCTTGTGATATATTCACACACTAAAGATTCTGAACTTGAAAACAAAGTAGAAAAATGGATATGAGTTGTAAAAATGTCCTCTCTACAAAAAAGGGGAATAATTGTGAAGCATGGACACAATTATTTGAACTTGAAACTTTTTTCAGCTTGGATATTATAGCCTAAACTTTGCAAATCGGTTGTCAGATTACCAAAAGAATAAATATTTTGTAACTAAACCCACTGGTGTTTTTGAAGAGCAATGGAATGTTTTGAATCAAAAATGACCAATTCAGTTACATGTATTAATTAGCTATTAATTTGCTTTCCCAGCATTGCCACGTTTATCAAAAGGACCTGGCGAGAATAATTTCAAGGTTAAGCCATTTTGTGAAGTCATTTGTTTAATACCACAACACAAAACTATAAACAGCTTTCAGGCTCTGTAGTTGCAAAACATGAACTCTGTCACAGGTTCCCAACCTCTATATGAGGGAGTAACTTACACATAACATTTGATCTGACTCCATGGAAGATCAGATTAAATTCATGGTATGACAAAAATACTTGAAATCGTTTTAAGGAATTTCCCTTCGTAATTAAAGGAATGAACATAGCGCTGGGAAACCAGCAAACTAAAACATCAAACTATCTAATGATAACAATAAATCTGTTTTAATTCAGTGTTGACACTTCTAAATCTTTTTTACATAGTGGATGACCAAGTACCTGGTTGGAAGCATTAAATATTTTTAGTTATCACACTGAGTCATTATATTTTTATTTAATTCCTGTAAATAGTTTAGAGATATTTCAATACTACAACATCTAGTGCAGTGATGGCTAACCTTGACACCATAAATGGTTTCTGGACTACATTTCCCATGATGCTCAGCATGATGCTCAGCTAGCTTTTATACTCTAAAAGCTAACTGAGCATCATGGGAAATGTAGTCCAGAAACAATTTATGGTGTCAAAGTTAGCCATCACTGATCTAGTGAGCTCTCCAATCTAAATGCACCTCCAGTGTTCTCTTCATTACCTTACCCAAAGCCTGGACCAATAAGGTCAAATTATAGTTAGTTAAAATAGGTGCTTCTACACACATATAGATAATGTAGATTTATAACGCTTTATGTTGGCTATATCAAAATATATCTTAATAACGCAGAGTTGGTTTATGCTAAAAGCAGATAGAGTTACACCTTTATTTACAAATGTAACACAACTAGAGAACTAAATTATGAAATCTAAAATATGAAGTGCTGTATAATAATGGATAAGAATGTGTAAAAATTTACAGCCACCATATTCCTGCCAATCTGTTAATTCAGTTTTGGATTTCTTACATCCACATTTATGGTACATGTTCGTTACATATGGTTACGTAGGCTGAAAAGAGACACGTGTCCATCAAGTTCAGCCTGGACAAGCAGAGCCAGAAACGGGAATAAGCAAACAGCACTCAGAAGCAGAAGTTATGTGTTAGGGTAAGAATTTAAGAAAATAAAAAAGTACTGAGACAATCTTTGATATGTCTCCAGAATAAGATTCAAGTTGAAAAGTCCAATTGGATGTAGAAGAATGGAAGAAGTACAGAAGTTCCTTGTACTGCCCATTTCTATTAGCCTTGATCATCCATGTAATTATTAGATCTACCAATGGTGAAATCATTGGTGTGTGTCTCAAGCCAAATAAACCTGCAGAAAATATTCCTTGGTTATTTAACCACTTAAGGACACATGACATGTGTGACATGTCATGATTCCCTTTTATTCCAGAAGTTTGGTCCTTAAGGGGTTAAATGAAATCTATGAAAACTCTAGCTGCAATACTTCGGTTCTCCATTATAGTCATGAGGTCCCAAGCAAACAACAACCATATCAGATAAAACCCTAAATGTGTATATGCATTAAGTATATTCGACAATGAGTTGCGAATAGATAAGTCTAACTCATGTTATTGTAGATCTTATTGGCCAATTTTGAACTCTATATTCCATAAATTTAACAGATGGTCTATCTTAAGCTTCACACTACATTTTTTTTTTTTTTTATCTTGCCATAATTTTTTTTATATTCAATTTCAATAGCAAAATCTGCTATAAAATACAATCCAGGGCCTTTTGCTTTTCTGAAACGCAATTCCAACAAGTACTTGCTTTTCCAGTGCAAAACAGATAAATCTATTGTCCTGGGGGAACTCTGTGAGGTCTTCTTGGAAATCAGTGCTATTTTTACAGACAACAAACAAATGTGAAGACAATGTTATCATAGGAAACAAGAATTTGGATGGACACTGGAAAGTCAACAAAAATGGGTACCGTACTTAGTTTAGGCTTTTTGCAATTATTTTAGGAGACTTCAACTGCATACAATATTCACAGATGTAAATAAGCAAAATAACATTTGTATTTTTTTACACTTATCTCAACAAAATATGAACATTGCATTTAAAGGCACATTTTACGTACTAAAATCACTTCATCGTAAATAAGTAATTTGTGGGGCAACAATGCTGCCCCTGCAGCCCAGCAGATGCAAGCAGTGCCATTTAACAGAAATGGCACTGTTTACATTTAGCAATCGCCTTGTCTGTAGAGACAGGTGGCCAAAGAGGGATTTGAAATAAGATTCAATAATTGTTCTATTTCATGTGCAGCATCAGCATGCACATAGCGGTGTGTACTGCTAAAGAAGCATTGTATTGATGGATTACGTCAGTGTTCTCAATAGTTCTATAACAAAAACATTTATTGCGACAAAACTCATCAAGATTAAAGGCCATGTATTTGGAAGACCAGGCAGCAGTGATGAGTCCTTTTCTGCATTCAAAAAAAACTAAATTTAATGTTGATTTTAAACATTTTCTAAAGAGGTTCCTTTAATCTAAAAATAGCTTTTATATTTGGAGTAAGTGGGTTAACAGATTAATCTGTAAAACGTTAAGAGTTAATAAGTATTTCATTTAGCATCGACGTATATTTTAATTTTGTTTAAATATTTTTTATGTTTTGGGTATAAAGGCATCAATTTTTCAAAGTTTCCTCTCTTAACCCTTTAAAATCCTCTTTGTCTAAGCTTGTATTCCTCAGGTCTACAAAGAATTTTTCTGTTGTAAGGTCAGACATTATAACTGATATGCTTAATCTTCCAAGGCCAGATATACAAATATTCTGTGCCAATTTCCTTCTTCTATGGAATCTAATCAATATAAGCACCAGTCTCCAGCAAATTCAATCAATTTTCACACCGACCCTTTATGACCTCTGAAGATCCCTTTTTTCAATTCAGAAACCGTATCAGGGATGTAACCATCACTCCTCTTCTCTGAAAAAGAGGCACAGAATAGGCTGTCAGAGGGACCTATATGCCTGGACAGCTCCTGCTGTCTCGTCTAGATCTTGTAAAATTAAGACCAGGTCTTAAAGGCCTTCTGGGTAAAGATAAATGAACATACATACAGTAATTGTAGCCCCCTAATAGAAAAAAAACAAAAGGTGTCATGCAGTGACTGAGTACGCACTGGAAGGGTGAAGACACATCAAAGGCTACAAGGCTTGTCCTAAGTCTTAGTGTAATTGTCAATTAACCATGCATAAGACAGACAATACCATGACAACGCAAGGCTGCATGCTGTTGCATTATTGTAACTCCAGAGAACAACACAGAAAACAGCTGACTTTGCTGACAGTGTACTTTTGGGGCATCTTGTAAGCAATCTGTCTGTGATAAGAGAGGCAAACTTCTCCAATACACTCCTATTATGTAGTACATTCCTGAATTAGGGTCACTATTTGGTCATCCTGTAAAGATACAACACAGCTCAAGACACTGACCTGTATCTCACCAATGGAATAAAGAAGAGTAGATATTGCCTGGTGTCAATGTGCACTCAAACTAGTGTATATAATGCTGAAAGTAGTTTACAAGTTGTTATTTTATGCATTTTTAAATTTTTGTTATGCAATAATTTTGTCGTTTATACTACAGGAAGATAAAACCATAGTGTGTGTATCACTCATGAAACCGGTACTGGTAAACACAAATAAAGTATAATCAATAGTCAACAATTCAGAGTTTCTTAAAAAGATTAAATCGAAACTAAAACAGGGGAAAATGTAAAAAAAACAAACAAGAAAGACATCTAAAGGTTTGAAACTGGGGCAGTGGTTGGCAGAGGGGTCCTGCATTACTGCCAACGTCCACAGAGTGAGGCCTGCCTGAGATGGTGTCAGGAACCATGTGCCAACCAAGCTTAGTGCCTTCCCCTCTCAGAGCAGAACAAAGGGCTGTTAAATCACAATGCCCATGGGATGAATGTCTTGAGTGCATGTCTAATATCGGCTGAGGACAATTCCCATGGATTGACGAGACAAAACCCAGAAATTGGAACTGTTTGGCCAAACCAAGGACCATTGGAAGCAAATTCCCATGCAGAGAGTTTGTGTACATTCCATAGGGTTAGGGGGCTGGCGGCAGGTTAACCCATGTGATAATAGAGCGGGTTAACCCATGTGATAATGGCAGTTACACTATTCTCATGGTATTGCACAGAAGGCCTCAGACCCCTAGATCCTGCCACATTGCTTACCTAGTCTGCTAGTTTCTGTTCCCAGGTACAATGTATTACTGAACTCCCTCTTCATGTCTTCTCCCTGCACAGTTAATACTATGCAATATTTATTATTTATTTTGCGATACACTTATTTTCGACAGAATCAGTGGTATGATACATTCAGGAAAAACTCTATTACTATTAATAGCTTGTTTTCCATTTCAGACTTTAAGATTATTAAGAAGCAACTCAAGAGAAAAACAAAACAAAAACTGGTCCATTGCTGCTTCAAGTGGTTTGTCCTGTGATTTTCTTTCTATGCCTGTGCATTACATGCATCAGAGGGGACAAGCGCACAAACTTTTATTATTTATTGGAATTACTGATATACCACATGGGAAAAAGGCAACTAGGCACAACTACTACCATTCTCAGCCATAATATCTGTTCAAAGAATCCACTTTGATATTGACTAAATTGCTGAAAACACCTTCACATCAAACACCACACTATATATAGGGCCTACTTCTCAAGTTGGGAGGAAAACAACTCAAAATTCCAAATGCAAAAACAAACTGCATGGCCAAGAGTATAATAAATGGACATGAGCATGTGAAACAATATTTCTAGTGGTCTGCATATGCTATGGCCTTGGTGGAAGGCTGGCAACTTGTGATGACATCATTTCCCTATAAAACATTTCATGTGACTCTTTGATTCCTCAACAGTGCAACAGTCATTCAGTTTTCTTATAATTTATAAAGTGTTGCAGCAGGAAGCCTACGGTGAGGTCGGTCTTGCTTTCAAGTACATCCTAGAGAGCATGTACAAATACAATGTTACACATTTAAAGCAAGTCTTATGCAATTCAAGCATCCTCCCTTATACACAAGTATGTCCCGTCTAGGCCCTTACGATCTGCTGAAGACTTACGTCTATCTTCTGTCCGTACTCCCACCTCTGATGCTCGCCTTCAAGATTTCTCGAGGGCTGCACCATTTCTGTGGAACTCACTTTCCTCCTCCGTTAGGTGCTCACCCATTCTCCACTACTTAAAAAAATCGTTAAAAACCCTCTTCTTCATAAAAGCGTATCAATTAAACTGTTAATAGCTCCTGACTGATTCCTCTTCTGCAACTGTCACTAGTCTAATACTATCCTTACCTTTTTGTGTCATTTTACCCCACTCCCTCTAGCATGTAAGCTCGTTGAGCAGGGCCCTCAACCCCTCTGTTCCCGTGTGTCCAACTTGTCTGGTTACAACTACATGTCTGTTCGTCCACCCATTGTAAAGCACTGCGGAATTTGACGGCGCTCTATAAATATCATAATAATAATAACAACAAATGCAGCTGCTCTTTCACTGATGGATATAATGTGAATCATTTTCAGGGATTTTTCAGTGTTCGCAAATCCAGTGTTTTCCAGAGCTCAGTAGGAAAAGTACACTTATATTAATGTCCACTGTTAAAGCGACTATCACTTTTGTATATTTAATTAGTAGTGCTCCACTGTGTCCCACTGGGAAGCCATTTTGCTTGATAAAATTACATTGTTTCATAAATTATACATAAGAAAAAGTAGTGACTATTTTCTTATGTAGAAACTGCATGTTGACAAAGATAACAAAAGGTGGAGCTTCAATCAAGATCTACATAATTTGTCAACTTTGTCATTGGTTGTAATTTCTTACCTAACTTCAGGCCTGCGTCACCTCCTCCCACCAAGGACGTCACACGATTTGGAAAAAACTGGGCATGTGCACGCGCTAGGGAGGGCAAAGTTATGGTGCTGACAAAAGTAGATTTACCAAATTGACTGCGCCATACATGAAAACCCGACGAAACCGTCAGGACACAGAATGGAAAGTAGCAGTAGGTCACAGGTCAAGAAAGTCTGAGGTGGTGGAGGAGGATTATAAAGTGACCCTTAGCCCATGTAATGAAAAGTACTAATTGTTAATTAAAATTCTCCCTGAGAGTGGCATCACTCTATATTAAGGTAACATGCATTTGTCTTGAGAGACCTAGACCTGGATATAAAATATCTTATAAACTAATAGTCGGGAGCATAAAAACAAGTCCGTTCATCAGAAAGATCAGTTCTGGGAAAGAAGAGATTGTGACCCAACTCTGACCCTGTTTTGACCTTTGTGCTTGTCAGAAGTCTGCTTTCATTTGTTTGCCACTTGAGTTGGATGTCATGTAGATTACAGGTAGAAGAACAATAGTGTTCTTATCATACAATGCCTTTTACCAGCTACTCACTTTATCCCGTCACTAGCTATCTTCTACAGTCTGATTGTTTTGGTATTTTATACACACAGAGTTTCTTTACATCATTTTTCCTCCAGACATAAATGTTATCACCTGGATGTAGATCAACAATAGAACACTGTTGCTCATGTCCCCTGATTAAATGGATATGCCAATATACCTTTCTAACAAAAGGTACTGATAGAACATCAACAAAATCAATAATCAAAAAAAAACAGCATCCATCCTGTAAATATAACCTTAAAGGCTATCACAATAGCCTACAGATATTTACATACATTAAAAAAATAAAAATGAAACACATGTATTAAGTCAAGGTACCAAAAGATACAAAAACGCTAATAATTTACATAACTTGCAGAGAGCAGACACTATTATAAAAAAGATAGACATGTAGAAAGGAAAAAGAAATATTTAAATTGTAGCCAAAAACAGAAGGTGATGATTTACTATATTAGTGGAGTTCAGTAAGATACAGGCCAGAGACAAAAAAAAATCATTCTCTAGAACAGGGATAGGCAACCTTCGGCACTCCAGATGTTGTGGACTACATCCCCCATAATGCTCTAACACACATAATGCTGGCAAAGCATCATGGGAGGTGTAGTCCAAAACATCTGCAGTGCCGAAGGTTGCCTATGCCTGCTCTAGAACATGTCAACAGGTGCCAGGCCAACTAAATGCAGAAACCATGTTAGGATAACCAATTAATGTATATCAACAACAACACCAACAAAATATATATTTGCAGCCTGTAGTTTGTTTTCAATTGCAATAATACTGACCAATCACATTTGGTAATGTAAGTTTCTATGGACAGTTGTATGTTTCTTACTAGTGTCTCGTTACTCATGTGAAAAAAAGTTCCTCAATATAGTAATCACGGAGCGTATCTTGAAAATGGAATTCTGACGAAAGGGGCACTGTAAGCATCATAACGATTGCAGCGCATTGCAGCAATTATGGTGTGAGGAGCATGAATGCAATGTTTCCCCATTTGGTGTCATATCATTTTGGATTAGTTTAATTGAAATCAAAGTTGTTCAAATGTGTGCAGCCTGGGCCTTAATTGTTGGGAACTAGTGGCAAACTGTGGCAGGGTTGCAGTTGACAGGAGCATAGTCAAAACAATATACAATGGTTTTACATAAACCCAGGCTTAAGACTCTTTGCCTCTCTATAATTACCTGTAGTGGTTATGATGAGATGAAAAAGTTTCTGCCTAGAGAACAATTGAATATGCCTCACACACCAACACTACTTTTGGTATGTTTTGGCCTTATATTCATATTTCATCCTCCCTGTACTTGAAATCAGGAAGAAGATTTGTGAAAAGAGGAGGTGTGACTACAGGGGTAGTATTATGCTGCAGAGAGATGCAAATCTTTTTATTATTAATATGAGGACAAAACTTGTCAAACGCACTTGAGTTGCGTTGGCAGCCAGAATATAGTATCTATCTGGCAGCATATCATGGTCCATAGCTGCCTGGCACAAGAAAGGTGAAAGAGGGGCAGAAGTAGAAGTAGTAAGAGGACATACTCGGGTTAAGAATCTAAAACTCTGTGCTTTATACTGCTGCTGTAAGCTGTACATTTACAGAAACACAGGAGTTTTGCAACCATGCTAGCTTGTTGTAAGTGTAGATAATCAGTTTCGGGGACAACGTTTCCAAGTTATGTCTTTTCAGTTCACAAGTTAGGTTGGAAGGGGGATATATATATAGCTAGCACCATTCATATACAATTTTTTTTAATTAATGTGGAAGGCTTACAGTGTGCTTTTACCTATTACCGCATTTCAAAAACAAGCACCTGCACAGGAACAGCTGTTTCAGAGGAGCAAGTCAGGCCCCTTGTTGGCCACATCCCACAGGCACGCAGTTTTATGTACTTTCACTAGCATGGTAAAATCACTACCTCCTTACAGAAAGGACCATATGCACTGTGTGTTCCTCCTCCCAACTGACAACCAGAGCTACAGTTCTCATTTATCCTTCTTAACATACTTATCCCGATTGTGAGATGGACATTTAAAAAATAAATTAATGAAAATACTAACATGAAACTCAAGAAACAAAGATGCATAAAAGAAATTGTAGAAGTGCAGTTTTTGCATTCCTACCTTGCAGTTTGCTTGGAGGAGAAGAGCTTTGTTGAGTGTGGTGTGGCGATGCATGTGACAGGAGAGGGTTCATGCTATGAGAGTGTGGTGTTCCAGTGCTGTAAGCGTCCATAGCCAGTTTCTGACGAAATGCTTCTTCTTTCCTTCTGTTTGCAAACCAGTTATAAACACGTACTTCTGTGACCAAGTTTGATCCTAGTCCATGTGCCTTTGATGGAGAAACACCACGCTGAAGACACTCTGCTCTATTAAAAAAAACCAAAAGGCTTAATATTAACGCTTTGAGGACGGAGGTAATTGTACAAGTTCTGAACCTAGAATTTGAGCTTTATGTTTGTTTAACCATACTTATTCTAAATCGTGTTCAGGAGAAAGAGGGCTTTCATTTCACATCAAATATTTATATTTGAAACATATTTTAATAAACTATGTAACTATAACTATAAGAAATTTTTATTTTCCAAGTTCTGCATGTCATTTTAAGTGTGAATGTCATAATGCTGTTAGCTGTTACCGCAATAAAACAGACTTGTTTGTAAGCTGTCATATCCGATGAGTACAACGATCCCCCCCCATGTACAGGTAGTACATAGTGTTTTGGAAAGTAACAGTGTCATAGATAGGGCTTGCCCATTTCAGTTTTTACATATTGAAATTTGCCAGATTTGGTTATGTTGCCCTTGAGAACCCATGACAGCCCAGGAATGAAAATTACCCCCATCATGGCATACTATTTGTAAACGTAGACAACCAAGAGTATTCAAAATTGGTTATGTCCAGTCTTTCTCAGTAGCCATTTAGTCACAAACCCTGGCCAAATTTAGCATTCATATTTGTTTGGTTGTTTTTTTTTGCATTTTTAAAACAAAAAAAATGCACTTTCACTGATGATGCTATTGTCATAAGTTTCACTGCTCTAAAACACACATTTGTGTTCAAGAATGTCTCACAAGTACAACAATACTCTCCATGTACAGGTTGTATGGGGTTTTGGAAAGTTACATGGTCAAATATAAGGCTTGCTAATTCAATTCTCTGGAATTTCTGCCTTGGTTGTCAGGCAGGTCCCTAAATATATAATTAATAAAATATTACAATTCCGTATAAATAATATATAAATACACTTAGAATGAAATGATATATATACTTTTATTCTAAATCTATGAAAGATATATATATTTTAAATAGGAAATTATAAAGCATATATAGATATATGGTTGATACAAGTTATAAGATATAGTTAAAATAAAAAATCAAATCTAAAGGCGTGTGTTAAAAGGAGTTTCTTGATTCAAAATAACACTATATTTGTATACTCTAATCTCCATAAACTAGTGTCTCCACTCTCCCCATGTGAAGCACCTAGTTCTTCCACAGTAATGCATTCTACTTTTTAGTAAGTAACAGTTCTTTGACATTAATTTACACCTTAATTGATACTAAACTGTGGACAAAAGTGAAAATGAAAGTAAGCCCTTGTTTTTGTTTTGTTTTTTGTTTTTTTAAATTTAAGTGTGCTTTGGCAAAAAATGGTTAGAAACCACAGGTTTTAAAGTTTGTTGGTATGCGTGGGTTAGGCATAAAGCTATCCTAACTATAAGATAAGGCCAGGAACTAATGAAAGTCTTTATAAAATTGGGGTGACTAGATGGGCCGAATGGTTCTTATCTGCATCACATTCTGTGTTTCTATTTTACATAATTGTTGCATCATTTATTTGACCTAATCGGAATTTAGCAGTGATCCAAAGGATACAAGTGTGAAAGTAGCATTTATTTTACCTGTTACACTCTTCAACTAAAGCTTCTCTCTCTTCCTTGCTGGGATTCTTTTGCCTTTCGTAAGCTTGGTAAAGAATGTGTTGTGATGCAGGACCCCATTTGAAGCGATTGCGTCTCATTTTTTTATTAGCAGGCTCGGAACAGGAGTCATCAGGCTGCCCTGGGACATGAGCTTGCTGGTTGAACTCTGGAAAGAGAAACAGCAGCTGATCCTGACTGCTTTTGTCTGTCATATTCCCAGTACCCTGGTTGAATTCTGAAAATAAAAGAGAGAATATTTTATCTGATCTACAGAAATAGCGCCTATGCACAATAATTTATATTCATTAAAGAACAGATTTAAGCAAGAGCAGATCAAAAGGTACAGCTAAATAGCAGAAGACATTCCAAGCAAAGATCCAGTGACAGGACATTTGACCAATTTTCTACTCTTCCAACTAGTAGATATTCCAAAATATACATACGTTCCCAACCTTAAAGATGTATCGAAGACCTAGATTTTGTGATTGGCAAATAATTATATATATATATATAAATAAATAAAACTGTTCAGCTGGGTTTCCCCAAAACTTACTATTCATTACGTAATGAATAACTCTCCGATCTCTTCATTAGTACATTGTACATATTCATATAAAAGGGACGTTATTATTATTTTTTGTATCATTATATGATATTATATAAACAAATGTAATTTTTTTTCAGTACAAAGGCAATGGGTACTTTGGCAGCACTATTCTGGTAAAGGTTCTCTAACCCATTATGGATTTTGATAACCAACAAGACAACTACAGTGGCCAGCAAAATGATCAGAATTCAGTAACATATCATGCAGAAATGCATATTTTATAATACTTACGTCTTAAAATCTCTCTTTGTTTCCGCACGTACCAAGTGTACAAAGCAGCTCGTTTTTGGGTCTTCATTGGTGTTCCTTTGTTGAGGTGTTGTGAGAGATGGGATTGGTTCAAACCCGTAATATCCACCACTTCCCTTTGGGGAATGTTGTGCTGCTGCATATAACCTTTTATCATCTTTGCTGCTCTCCACGGATCCTCACTGTAACACAATCAAACAGCTGAAGTCACAACAATAGAACTCATCAAGAATAATTGCATAGTTATAATCATTATTAAACTGTAAATCTTTGCATTTGTGATATTAAAGATATGACAACATTATGAAATGGAAAGATATACGGACAGGATATTTCTGTTAAAACCATCTTAATCTTTTTGTTTTCTTCAATCTGTCTGTGTGATCTATTATATATATATGTTTGTTACTTGATACAAACCCTGTAAAATTTATTTTTGAATGTTATTTTAATAAAGTTGTCAAATTTGAGTTGTGCAGGCCTATTAAAAAAAATAAAGATTATCAAACGACACCTTACATTAATTTAAAAGGAGTGGATTATTAGGTTAGAATGAACCAGTCACTTTTACAATGTTTAAAAACAGGATGGATGGGAGACAGAGAAAGCTCCTGAACCAAACAGAAAATATATGAAAAGGCCTTGCACTACTGGATTATCAAAATGGTTTTACTACCTATTATGAGATTGGGATGTTTACATTTGTGTATAATACCCAGATGAAAACCATGGAAGAAACACTAGACAGAAGCAATCACCCAACAGCTGTGATCTGTCTACTCACATAGTGGTAAGAGTGAAAAATAACAAATATTAGCCGAGCACATCTTCAAAAAAAAACAAAAACCTATGTGGTGGGTCTACGTGACTGGACCAGGTTGCAGAACATACAAGTTAGTGGCATCGATGAAGATCAATACAGGTAAATTCCCTTGCTTCATCTAAAGTTTATTTACCGTACTATTATAGCTGAAACAACCCAAGGAAATACTTCTGGATGGCTTAAGATGTTAAAGTTCTCAATAGCCCCTGGTGATGCACTTCACCTAATCACTCAGTGACTAAAGGACCAGAGCATAACATACTGCACAGATGGGGACAACAGAAATGCCTTATTGTCTTGAAGGAAGACAAAAAAAAAAAATCAAACATCTCTATTATCAAAGACCCCTTGATTTCAACAATGGGTGGGAATTTCACAGCAGACTACTACCTCAAACCCACTAACCAAAGCAGTTCATCAATGGGATGTGATAAGCCCCCCCTCCATTTGTGCCTAATGTGCTCACTTTCTTAGCCCTGTGTCCACCTTGGCGAGTCTCTTTTAATGTGGACTCTGGCAGCTAAGAGTCAGGTGTAGGATTGTCCAAGACCTTCATATCTTGAGGTTTCACCTTCTTATCGCTTGTGATATGATTGTTCTCCTAGATACTAATCAGATAATATTGATTTGACTACTATTGCGCCACCTTACATAACAGTTATTGTTGTGTAGTTTATTGCCTGTTTTTCCATATAATTTGCTTTAGTGCATTTGAATGTGTGTGTTTTTTTCATAACTAAAAAATATTTGCTTCATGCTTTGTTGTGTTCATATGTCTGCCTCAATGTCTGTTGAATTACGCATTAACAATTTGCATTCACGTGAAAAATTAGATTTCTATTGTATTTCTACCTTACATGTAAGGCAGTGCAAGCAGAAATTTCAGATTTCACACAATTTGCACAGATCTTTTCGCATTTAAAATTTTAAATTTCTTAGTCAGACTTAGTTTAGAAGGGATTGGGGAGATAATTGGGTAGTGCTCTGGAATTACAATTACTTATATAGAGACAATATATTCTGCTGCGCTGTACAATAGGTAAACAAAACAAATGCTAAATTCCAACAAAAAAAATATTTGACATACTGGAACAGTAGGTTAGGAGAACCATGCTAAAATGAGCTTACAACCTAAAAGGTACATACAAAGCCATGCAGGTGTTTTGTTACATGTTACTGAACTCCTCTCTGCTGAGACAGAATAACCTGAGACTGATAAGGTAAATAAATATACAACAACTAAACTTATTCAAAAATATATAAATAAAAACAATAAGCTCTAAGTATTTCCTGTCATGGTGCAAAGATCTTTGCAGCTACTTTTCATACATATTAAATTATGATTGATCATAATTTAAAAATAAAAAATGATAGGATTGAGAGCAAATAAAACACAACAAATCTATTCTAAAAATATACTAAAGATTTCTTGTGCACTGATTTAGGTTTTAATATAATAAACTATTGCAATGTGATAAATGGTGATGAAAAATATATATTAACTCTTTGAACATTATGGGGTGTATTTACTAAAAACTGAGTTTCAATTAAAACAAATAAAAGCATTGTAAAAGTCATAACAGTACCAAATTTAATATTACTCTTTCGCCTAATTTGCAAAATATATGCACAAAAGTGCCATGCAGTTGGGTTAGCAAAATGTTCCAATAAATTTACAAATTAGATTTTCATTTCACAATAATTTACTGCTTGGCATCCAAACTATGACTCAAAGGTCACACTCTGAAAGGTTTAAATACTAAGCCTCACGGAATGGGCAAAAGTGGGCAGATTCTACGGGTCACACAGTCAGGAGGGGAGTCATTTATAATCTAATAAGAGTTGTCAATACTTGACTTTCTCATTTGGAGCTTTTCTTACTAATTGTACTGTCACAGCTCAAAACCTTGACTTAATATCACGGCAGTTTAGGGTTTCCCTGAGAATCAATATTATGACCCATTTAATTATACCATTTGAAGACTCTAGATCAGGCTTCCCCAAACTCTGGTGTCCAGATGTTGCTGAACTACAACTCCCATGATTCTATGAATGAAATAGATAGGCTGAGAACCATTGGAGTTGTAGTTCAGCAACATCTGGAGGGCCGGAGTTTGGGGAAGCCTGCTCAAGATAGACAGGACTTTGCTATGAAAAATTTCAAGGTCATCTAATTTCTAAACGTACATTGTATACGCTAATAGGGTTATTTACTAAAGTGAGAATTGCCTGAAAACAGAATTGATTTTGAGATTTTTTTAATCAATCTGCTTTTTTAGCCTAAACGATGAAATTCGCTTTGAATTCCGCTTTGCAAACCTCACTTTAGTGAATAACCCTGTCAGATGTGTTTTATATCAAACTCTAAAGAAATAAAAGTGCATCAAAAGAATAGCAGACACATACTGTTAACAAACGGTGGTAAAAATGTAAACCAGTGACATATAACCAGACTGGTTTATAAAAATGAAAGAATGTAGCAATATAAACTCTTGGGATTTAAATTTATAAACTGAGCACTACAAAGAACTTAAAAGGAAATAGCAATTTGTAGTTCAAGATAATGTGGGAAAATAGTGTAGTTTAATCATTTTACCAGTTTTGTAATTTTGACCTAAAACTTTACAATGCCCTTGTATGTCCTCCACTGAAGTCATCACAATTAAACACATAGCTTTGTATTGTAATTGCAGTGACTCTGCCTATTCAATAGGAATAGGCTAGTAGTTGCCGGTTAAGGTCTATGAACTGCAATAAAATAGCAATGCATATGACAACATATACAGATTCCACAATGTCCCGTCTTAGCTATTCTCCAGTACACCAATTTACAAACAGCATTATTAGCTTAGATCACATCACCGAAAGCTAATCCCTGCTGCTTTTGGACCTCCTCCTACTTTTAGTGGTGCATTCTGCAGAATGGGTTGTAGTAAAGCAATTCAAGCTCCCGAAACCATTGAAATTGCAGATCTTAAATGGAAGCAATATGTATATTTTGTCATCTGCATAGTCTGTAGATGCAGGACACCTAGGGGGTGAATAAAATAGAAAATATACAATAATAGCCTTGAATATACATGTGCTCACATAACCTAGTAAAAATGATTAAAATAATGTTGTTGGATACACATTGAGATAATTTGGTTTTATGGTGTAACATACTATAGAAAGGCCATAAATTGCAGAAAAAGCTAACAAGCTTAATCAAAGGTGCCTTAAACAAGCAATGGGTCAGTGGTGCGTGGCTATGTGATTCTTTTCTGACTTTTCACATTTACAGTGGAGTCACTGGTACATTAAGATCCTGAAGCATTAATGGTAATAGCATTGCCTGTAGTCAAAGTTTCCTGAACAGACTGGTTGCTGCGAGAAACATAATGTTAGTGCCACAACAATCTGTACTTCATGACATTCTATACTGGAGTGCATCTACTAAATCTCTATAGGAGGAAATCTGTGATTTACAAATCTGCAGTTTTTGAAAAGTTGTTTAGTGGCATATTTTCACACTTTAAATAGAAAAAAAAAAAGGAATAATAATCTACAAACATAGCCATGATAAAAACAAAACAAGCAAACCAAAACAAAAACACGGACAAGGCTATTAAATTGTCTGAAATTCAAAGTGAATTTCAAATTTAAGGTCTTAATGGCTCAGCTAGAAAAATTCTCTAAATCCGCTATTCTTCCAGGCCTCCTTTGGTCTTAAATTTGAAATTTAGCCCAACCTAAATAATTAGCCTACTGAAGGACATAGCGCCATCACACAGGTAAAAAGATAAAGCTTGGATATTACGTTAGAACTAAGTACATAGTTTGTAATGTATGCCAGTTTTGGGGATGCAAAATGTACGTTTTTTTTATTTTAACTTTAGACAAATTCCATGTTTTATTTAATTTTGTCTCATCAATACAAATGCTTTTGATATCACCTTTAGCAAAATCCAAACTTCTTAAACTAAAATAATTTGATGAGGCAAATAAAGGGAGCAAAACCCAAAAATGTTAGTAGCTATAAATTGTGACGATGTGACGATAGAGCTGGAAATATTGGGCCAGATAAACTGAATTGAAGATTTTTTCTAGATTAGGTATTTTGAACTGAAATCTTCAATGACTTTTTCAGATCTCCACAAATCTCGATTTCCTGGAATTACGCTATATTATTATTTCTGGGAAGTTCGTAAAGCTGTTTATATACTATAAGTTGGTTTGTGTAAGGATATAAGGCGAGTGTATATATATATATATATATATATATATATATATATATATATATATATATATATACACACACACACACACACACACACACACATAAATTATTGTGTTTGTGTAGTCACATTTAATTTAAAAATAAAGATATATCCACCTTATTTATGAATGACAAAGCCAAATGTAATTTATAAATTATAGCAAATTATATTCAAGCTAACTATATATATTTTGTACATTAGCAGGCTACCTTAGTTACTAGAGTGTGGTGGGATGCTTATACTAAAGATATATTTTTAGTAGGATTTTTTTGTTAACTAAAAATATTTATTTTGGGAAGATGTTTGCTGAGAAAGAATCATCCATTCCCACTTATTTAAAGTTTGTACAAAGGTTCACAGTATATATTTACCTTTGAACAGCCAGAAAATATCATTAGAAACTGAAACAGTTTAATGGTGGTTATATCTCAGTCAAGTCTGATATGTTTGAGTTGGTTAAAAAAATATCACCAAATGTTTATGGCTAATATTGTACCGAACATAATCCAATAATACATGTCACCTATTTTTATTATAAGATTGATTTCAATTGAATAATTATACACCTCAAAAACAGGCTATAATCGTTTATTTGCTAGAAAGTGATTTGTTACAAATTTTGAAAGTCAATATTTAACTCACTACAAATCTAACTCGGTCTAAATTATATGTCAACTGTTGATGAACTACAAATCAGTCTTTATTGAATAGAGCCACAACGTTTACCCTTTTTCCTCCTGTCAGACCGTGTAACAAAATTTTAATTTATTATTTTAACAAGTTGCAATATGTTCGTCTATTTACCCATAGAAACAAGATGCGTGTTTATGGCGATAAATATATATATATATGTTTTGAATGGGAGGGGGATTTCTAATTATATTTCACTTTATATATAAAATTTGCATTCTTAAGTGGACTATAAAAGGGTGTATCTTGTGCTAAAAATAAAAAAGTTATCTTGTGCTAAAAGTTTTTATATATGTTTCTGGCTGGTCAAGAGAGGGGATGAATTAAGGGGATCAATAAATTTTATTTTGATTAATAAAAATAAAACAAATTGCATTTTAATAAATAAGAATTAGAAAAACTACCAAGTGATGACCAAATGTCCGGTTGGTTTTGTGAGGAATTATCAGGTTGATTAGTAATAGTTTGTGTCTTTACAAGAATATTAGAAAAGGTGAACATATGGCGCAATGCACACAAAGGCAGCTGGCAAACACACACCCACCTCAAAAATATGCAAAATGGATACTTTTTGAACTCCGAGTAAAGCTTTTGTAAACATTCACCAACAATAAGGCAGGACATTAATATAACTGTTTGCTATTGCAGATAGAGTGCAGAACTGTCACCTTCCTCCAAAATAAACAAATACATTAAAGTAAAGCTCTAGATTACACGTCTTTGCTTTACTCTTTTAATTTGCTGAAACTATGCAGTCTATTGAATAAAGTTGTTTTTACTTTAGAACTGACTAAACTTGTGGCAAAACAGCCTAGTTTGAAAAAAATATATATTTCAAGAGAAGTCAGACTCTCTTATTTTTTGGTCTAAATTTGGCAAGTCAAATCTCAAGCCACCGTCCAAAAGTCTCTGTTTAGTGGACGGACTCTATTTAGTGACAAAAGCTGGAGCAAATATATTTTACTTCTCCTTGGCTAATCTTCCAGGAAAAAAAAAATAGGGATTTGTTCGCCAAACACTGAATTCTAGAAAATTAAAAATTTAATTGCAAAATTAAGGCAAAAATAATAATAAATAAAATAAATTGTGAATATAGCTGTGTTGAGAACCCTTTTCCAAACTAACATTGCTGCCTGAATTTTGAAATGTAGCTTTCAATTCACTGCTATTCACTAAACTCTGAACTGTAGTGAATTTAAATCAGAATTGCACAATTAAGGCAAACCTAGATAATTTGAAGAAAATTCTCCACCTCAACTATAATCACAGTTCGGCTATTTTTGCATTAGTTTTGCAGTTGGATTTTCATTTGCAACAATTCAGAGTTTAGTAAATAATCCAGCTAGTGTCTGGTGTCTGGTGATGATTTGGACATTTGTAGTATGCCTAGAATAATAGCTTTTTACTATGCCGATTTATTCAGTCACCGTCAGACGCAGGTGGAGCAAGATTTATTTTGAGTTCTAACTAGAAGGGATATTAGGTGTGGCTTTGAAATATACAATGTATATTTTACAAAGGTGAAGCACATTTTATCCTAAAAATAGATCAAAGTTGTTTTTTTGTAGGTTACGAATATAAACTAAACCAATGACTAGTGACGAAATAAATGTTTTGCTTGTTATTTATATTTATGATATTTAATATAGTTATGAGAACATTTGCATAATAGTATGCTGTCTGTTCTCATATCATTATGATTTGGAGAAGTTAGAATCAATTTGCAACATTCAGGCCCAAATAACTATGACTTCGATTTAATTGTTTTGGATAAACTTTTCAAATGATCACAATCTGTTGGAAAAACTTTTAAAACTCTTTATCTACAAAAATGTCAATAGAGTTTAATAGTGACTCCATATGAATCATTTAAGAGTTGTGGGGGGAAAAATGTTTCAATCATAGATCTGTTTTCCCCAGCTCTGCTATTAAAATCTACATTTAGCAAGCCAGTTGTAATCTCACAGTTTAGTTTACATGTCCCTTACTGAAAAAAACAGCAAAGTTAAAAAACAAACTTAGGCGTTCACGTGGGCAACTAGTTTTCTAAGTTGACTGTTTACATCTATGTTTTACAAGTCACTTGTCAGATCACTGTTTAGTGAATAAATCCCATTATTAGCTATTATTCAATTAAAATACCAACCTACTGAACCTGGATATTTCTCACAATTTTTTTCACAATTGGAAAAATATACCAAAGAACTGAATGATACTAAATTTACAAAATGATACTTACACATGTAGGCAAATGCACAATGTATTGAAAAAAATTAATCTGATTTATCAGTAAAGGTAATGCATCTTTATTACAAAATACAAGAGATCAAAACATATCTACAAGACCAAAACGAAAAACAACAACAACAAAAATGTTTAAAAAGCTTACCTAGAACACTCCTGTAGAGGATTTAACCATTCTGGTGTTATTGTATAGGTATATCTACCACAATCCATCCAGTGTTGGTGAATATTTTATACATTATATTGTCCCTTTCACTGGTACCAGAGAAGTTAAGATTTGTTTTTCCACGCCCCTGGCATTAATAGGATTATTGGGTATTTACTGTATACTATGTTTAACATTATTGATATAATATAATGTTTGTATTAATTAAACCCTTGGGATTTCCTGTTCCTGAAAACTTTTTTTTTTTTTTTTTACTAAAGAATCTCGGATATTTAATAATGTAACAGTAACTGAATATATGTGTGTTCTCAGAGTCACTTCTTAGAAAACTGCTAAAATCTTAATAATGTACTTTATATTACACTCACACTTACACTCACACACACCCACACACACACACACCTATAAATAAACACATACACACACTCAAATAAACACATGCAAATACACACTTTTACTAGAATGCATAAACTACTTATAATATACTTTGATGACAAAGAGCATAGTATGGTGATTTAATTGTACTTAAGAGAGGTCAGAGGTTCATGATAATGTGACATTAAAATAAAGGGTGACTACGGAGCTAATTTCTCTTTTAGACAGACTTTAGACTGTTTACAAACTGTAGAGTAACTCCTGACAGTTTATGTGTATAGTATAATGCCAAGATCTGTCTTTATAAGTATTTCCTTTAGCAAAATAGTTAACAGGTTGCCAATGAATAGCCAGCGCCCCTATTCAAGTAAATCACCACCTTTTGTGTATCTTTCTGTTGATGATTTATAGAAATAAATTAATAACAATCCAACCACCACGTGCTGGAGTTTGTGTCCTATCTGCCACACTTTAAAACATTTTTTTCACTTTTCTCTTATTATTTACAGGAACTCAAACAGAACCAAATTGATAAAACAGAAAGATTATTCAGGCTAATAAAATCTAAAATATTTATGCCCAAACGAAAAATTATAATAATAATCATAATTAATTATAATAAATGGCAACAATCATATTGTGAGTGTTGATAATGGTAATTATAATTAAATATATATAGAAAACAGTTCAACAAAAACTATAAATATAAAAAAACATTTTAAAGAATAAAATATTAAATATATTCTAATTTGTTGGTTAAAATATGTTTTTTTTATGTTCATGGTTTTTATTAAATGTTTCAAAGTTTTAACATAACTTTTTCTACATCATAACATGAATGTTAAATAAGTTTAAAAAATGTTAAATAAATTAAAATATTCTCAATCAGTTTGCCTTTACTGTAACAGAGTATAAAGTTTAAAATTAAGTTGTCATATATACCAACATTTAAGAAATAAAATGCAAGCTAAATATTAGTAACTAAACGATAATCTGAAGAAATGAAATGTTTGCATTCTAATCCCAGCTATTAATCCCACTATTACACCAATTCACCTTCCCTTGATGAAAGTCCAGTCTGCTGAGCCAGACCTTTCGATATAGTATTTTAAGACACTTCGGGTAGTTAATAATAAATAACGTCGGTGTATTTAGTTGATATTTTGCTAAAGAGAGGAAATATTAAACGATTTAGATAATTAGTAACTAGTCTGCCTGATTATAGGATCTGGCGGGACGTTTTAATTTCTGTTGTGGTCCTTGTTTACAGTAAAGGCTATGAATAGGTTAAATTATTACAACAAAATCCCAGTGATATTTTGCACATCCATAAATATGTCATAGGTAGCAATAAAACGGAGGAATTAATACAAAGTTATATTCCACGCCACGCCACTTAAAATTAACAGATTCTTGAATTCTGATTAATTTTTCTTTACTGTTAAATATTGTATTTTAAATTACTGTCTAGAGTTAATTAATGTAATTTTGGAGTAAATTACATTTAGTATAATAATGTTTAATTCTGATCAGTGTACTGAAAATAAAGTATCTTAGTCCACTAGCAGTAAGCTAGCAGAAGAACCATACCAAATATTTATACTATTATACTTTGTTCCCCCCAAAAATCTTTTTTTTTTATCTTACCTTAACATCCTGTCCACCTCAGCCCTTTGCTCCGCAGCTTCCTCAGTGTTAAGAGACTGGAGCTCTTTAAGTATTGGTGGGGTGTCATAGTCATCTCCATCTTCTGAACCCTCATCTCCAGATAGTTTGCCCTTGCTGTGGCCATTAGTTAGAGTATGGAAAACAGGTTTGGTGTCTGGATCATGCACTGGAGACATCTGTAGGTTTTCCAGTTTGACCCCAAAACTGGGTGTGGGGATCATATCTTCCAAAGCTTGCATCAGAACATCTTTGGTTACTCCAGAATTCAGGAGGGCATTGAGAAGTTCCTGCTGCAGTGATGATAACTTGGATACCATTTTATAAAGTTTAGGGGGGATAGAGGGATAGGAAGAAGAAAGGGAAGTAGAAGTAAAAACCCCTTGTTTCTGGGCACCTGTTCTTCCAGCTTTCACAGGAATCCTCCTCCTGCACATCAAGCTAACACTAACTAGCCATGATCGCCTCCATTAGCCCATATAACTCATGCAAATAAGTGGGAAGGCAGTAGGACTCTCAGGACGCAATGAGAAGAGGAGGTGGGGCTGGCTTCTCCCTGTTTATGCTAGGGACGACTGCATCGACATTTATTGGTTCTGTTTATCAGCCAAACTTTAGCTGAACTTTGGACCTGTTCAACAAGTGCAAGAAAGAAAAAAAAAAAGGTACACTACAAATCAAATATGCCTGGGGCCTGCAGGTCTATGAGACTGCTTGTGCTAAAATCTGAGTTCTCTTTTCTTTAAAGGGACTTCTCTCTTCAGACACAAAAGAGGAAAAGCAATAAAAGGAAACTGAACTCATGTAGGAGATGGTGTGTTGTTTAGGTTTAGTATACACCACGAGGACTCGTCCCTAAAATAAAATAAAATAAAAAATATATATATATACGAATATATGTATTCATACTATACTTTTTTTACACACATTCTCTCTCTCTCTCATGAAGCATTTTGAAATATGCGTATGTTCAGAGTCTATTTTAAGGGATTAAATACTAAACAACGAATTGCAGTGAATTGGATTCTAAATAGCAACGTTTCGACATAGTTTCTATAGTTTAGTCATTATTTTGCTATTTTAGTTTACAGTTCACTACAATTCGCCGTTTAGTGAATAAAGCCCATAATATTGTGTGTATATTGTGCCTTGGAGAAAAAAAAAAAAAAAAGAAATACTAGGAGGGGTTTAAATGTGCTATATGGCTGCTTGTGTATATGACAATTTTAAAACACTTAACGTTTATTGTGGCAATTATAAAGGCTGGGTTATATTACAGGGATATATTTATTGATGGGATTATCTCTAAATTCCTACACATATTGTAACAGAGTAGTTTGAGATATAAGAAACTGTTGATTGTTGTTCCCGGGATAACATAAAAATGCAGTTTCATTCTTTTTTTTTTTCATTTTACATTCAATTTAATTTTAAAAATAAAGAGTAAAAAAGCGGTGTGGTAGTAATACATTTAATTAAAAAAAAACACAAACATTAGCTACTCATGATTAAAGTTATGTTTTTTAGTAATAATATATTTTTTTCATTGCAGAATGCTAAGTGGTGTATGTGTTTATTATAATTATGTATCAGGAATAGAAGGTTCAGTTACAGAAATTGTTCCTACAGCTAAATACATAGATTAGAGGGGAGATAGATATTAAAAGGGGGTAAATCCTTGTTGTTTTTATATTGTCGACCAAGTAGTCAAACAAGGTTTCCATTTAGTGTGAGCAGTGTATCAGTAATGTACTTAATCCTGTCTTAAACCAAGTTCAAACGGACTGTTAAAACAATAGCCCCTAGGACACTTATTTCACTCCCCTGGCCAAGTGGCAGTCAATGAGGAGCATTGTGTGAGTGCTTGAGCAACAGTGTTGATAGGATTCTTACTTATCTTTTCAAAGTCTACACGTGGTATTCTGTAAGAATGAGCACTGCAGACTCTGAGTATTACAGAACACTGCAGACAGAGTATTACACAGCACTGAGGACAAAGCATTACACAGCACTGCAGACTCATTATTACAGAACAATGCACACTCAAAGAACACAGCACTGCAGACTCAGAGTATAACAGAGCACTGCAGACTCAGAGTATTACAAAGCACTGCAGACTCAGGACACACAGCACTGCAGACATAGTATTACAAAGCACTGCAGACTCAGAACACACAGCACTGCAGACAGAGTATAACAGAGCACTGCAGACTCAGAGTATTACAAAGCACTGCAGACTCAGGACACACAGCACTGCAGACATAGTATTACAAAGCACTGCAGACTCAGAACACACAGCACTGCAGACAGAGTATAACAGAGCACTGCAGACTCAACACACAGCACTGCAGACAGAGTATAACAGAGCACTGCAGACTCAGAGCACACAGCACTGCAGACAGAGTATTACACAGCACTACAGACTCAGAACAGAGTATTACACAGCACTGCAGACTCATTATAACAGAACAATGCACACTCAAAGAACACAGCACTGCAGACTCAGAGTATAACAAAGCACTGAAGACTCAGAACACACAGCACTGCAGACATAGTAATACATGGCACTGCAGACATAGTATTACACGGCACTGCAGACAGAGTATGATAGAGCACTGCAGACTCAGAGCGCTGGACATGGCAGACTATGGACAGACTCAGTATCAAGCAGATACAAAACACAAAAGCACAGCAGACACAGAGCAATAAAGACACGGAGCACAGGGACTGAGCAGGTGGTATAATGCATTGTTTTGGAAATAACCACTCATAAACGTGGGGTTTATAAACAGTGTTTTCGAAACCAATTTTAGGCAGACAGAGCCAAGCTGTGACTATCACTACAGTTGAGCTATATACATTTTCTAAATCAGCTATTTTTGCCGTAATTGAGTTTACAAACCAATACCATATTATTATTATTATTATTTTATTATTTATATAGCGCAATTAGACTCCGTAGCGCTGTACAATGGATCTCAAGGTTCACTATTTAGGAGGGACAGTCCCTAGTTTGGGCCCAGATCCCTTTGCCCCTCTTTTCTGTCAAAACATATTGAGCAAATTCTCATTCATAAATATTACAGCAATATAGCAGGATTTTTTATTTTATTTTAATCAGAAATCTCTTATTCTTTTCCAAGTTCTAAAGACATGTAGTGATGAAATATATAAGTAAATACATTGACAGTTTTTTAAAGTTTATATCTTGAACTTTCATATATGGAAGAGACACATTGTAATGAAGTTGTTATGGTGCCAGGAGGTTCCAGGTGCTGGATTACCGTAGGGGGGTCAAAACATTTGTTTCAACTCTATTCACAAACTGCAGTTAGAAAGATACGTATTTTTCACACTCTCTTTTGTGAATGGTGAGATACTGATAGGCTGGCCCTCTTAGCCTATCAGCAGTGCCCAGTCTGAGGCTTCCTATTCGAAGCCTTAGGCGAAGACAGGAAGTGAAGGGGAAAAGCTTATGGGCACAAGTCTTTAGTGTTAAATAATTAACAATTTAACCACTGCGCACCATAACAACATCATCATTTAAATTAAGTTGTTATGGTGCTCAGAATGTTTTTTAAAGAAACATTTCAAGCATCAAAAACACTGCAGTGCACTGTAGTGCAACCCCCTTTGGTAAATAGTCAAACCAGTTCAGAATGGGTGCTGCTCCCTGCCACCTCTGCAGCTAAAGGAGAGCCAGAAGCTCCTGCTTTGGAATTTCTATTCGCTATCCTGAGCTTGCTCATTGGCTGAAAGCATCAGATGATCTTTCTTAGTCAATGAACTAAGCCCTGCATACTGTGCTTAGCTCAAAGTGATTGTTGGCCTCTGTAGTTTTATTGGAGGTAGTGAGTGGTGGCCAGAAGACCCCAAGTAAGAAAACAAACTGTTCTAAAATTGTTTTGCTACTTATAAGGGTGGGAGGGGGTCTCAAGGCACTCCTGCCACCATAATCATTGCATTGTGCTTTAGTGGTTATGGTGCGAACGGTTCACCGCGGTTCGCCACGAGCTGTTCGTGGCGAACTCCGGTCAGCTGACATGTCCTGGCCAATCTCCAGCAGACCCTCCCTCCCAGACCCTCCTACTTCCTGGACAGCATCCATGTGGATGCTGTCCAGGAAGTAGGAGGGTCTGGGAGGGAGGGTCTGCTGGAGATTGGCCGGGACATGTCAGCTGACCGGAGTTCGCCGCGAACAGCTCGTGGCGAACTGTTCGCGAGAAGTTTGCGGACGGTTCGCGACATCTCTAAACACTATCAAATATACAAATGTATATTGATAAAAGGCATGCCAGACTCTTTTAATGATATGCATTTTATATAGATGATACACAGCAGTGAAGCATGAGTTCTGTTAAAAAGATACCATTGATGGTCATGTGGTTTATGAATGTCTCTACAGCTCTAAACTGGCATTATTTTCCCCAATACACCCTTCATCACTAATTAGATTTTACATTTCATTCCTGTAAGTTTTCTTGTAATTGTCCTATTTATAGTTAAATCCCCCCTCTCATAATATTGTAAAGCGCTACGGAATCTGTTGGCGCAATATAAATGGCAATAATAATAATAATAACTCTTTTTTTTTAATGATGGTTAGGACTAAGACAAGGTTAAGTGTACAGGCTAGGGTTGAGGGTTACAACTATATTTATGCTATAGGCTAGAGTTAGGATATAGGCTAGGGTTGGGGTATAGGCTAGGGCTGAGGGTATAGGCAAAGGTTGAGGGTATAGGCTAGGGCTGAGGGTAAAAGCTAGAGTTAGGGTATAGGCTAGGGTTAGGATATAGGCTAGTGTTAGAGTATAGGTATGGGTTATGATATAGGCAAGGATAAAGGTATAGGCTACGGTTAAGGTTATAGGCTATGTTTAAGGGTATTGACTAGGGTTAGGGTATAGGCTTTAGGCAAGGGTATAGGCTAGGGTTAGGGTATAGGCTACATTTAAGGGTATTGGCTAGGGTTAGGGTACAGGCTACAGTTAAGGGTATAGGCTACAGTTAAGGGTATAGGAAAGGGTTATAGTATAGGTTAGGGTATAAGCTAGGGTTAGGGTATAGGCTAGTGTTAAGGGTATAGGCTAGGGTTATGATAAGGGGTTACGTTGGGCGTGATGTTGGTGGTAAAGTATTGGGTAAGTATTTGTGTCGTTTGCATTATGAACTCTGTGTCAGTCAGCATGTTCTCGTTAAGTTTCCATTGGAACTTGGTTTAAGCAGAGGTGTTTTTAGAAGGATTGAGACCGGGGAGTGATCCGACACGTCCTGAATTCCTATGATAGAGGAAATCAAAAGTGGGAGGAATTCCTGGCCAGGAAGATGTAGTCTATTCTGCTATATCGGTTATGAACTGCAGAATAGAATGAGTAGTCCCTGGCATCAGGATGCACCACCCTCCAGCAATCAGCCAATCCCATTATGTTAAAGGATCACTATAGGGTCAGGAACACAAACATGTATTCCTAACTCTATAGTGTTAACACCACCATTTAGCCCCCCTGGACCCCTCATGCCTCCATAAATATAGCAAAATCTTACTGTATTCAAGCCTGAAGCTGTAACTGTGCATGCTGTTAGATTCAGAAAAACAAGCAGTCTGCTGACATCATTAGAAGTGGTAGCCTGATCCAATCACAATGCTTCCCCATAGGATTGGCTGAGACTGACAAGGAGGCAGGTCAGGGGCAGAGCCAGCATGATTCAAACACAGCCCTGGCCAATCAGCATCTCCTCATAGAGATGAATTGAATCAATGAATCTCTCTGAGGAAAGTTCAGTGTCTGCATGCAGAGGGAGGAGACACTGAATGTTTGGATGCATTTTAGGCAGCCATGACCCAGGAAGGATCTCTAACAGCCATCTAAGGAGTGGCCAGTGAAGTTATCACTAGGCTGTAATGTAAACACTGCATTTTCTCTGAAAAGACAGTGTTTACAGCAAAAAGCCTAAAGATAATGATTCTACTCACCAGAACAAATTCAATAAGCTGTAGTTGTTCTGGTGACTATAGTGTTCCTTTAAGAGCCTGCTCAGCGCAGCGTATGCAATGTGATGGGTAAGTTGAGGTCTCCGGCTAGCACCAGGAGGCCCTCCCTAAACTTTTGTAGGAGGGTCAGTGTTTTGGCGAGGAACAGGTGCTGTCCCTGATTGGGGCAGTAGACTGTGGCAAAAGTGTATCTGGTCTGCTATGGTTCCTTTCATGAACATAAATCTGCCCTGGGGGTCTATATGCATTGGAATGTGACCGTTTGTGCGATAAGGATAGCCACACTGGAGCGTTTGGCTTTGGGGTGAATCGCGTAAAAGCCTGTTGAGAAGCGCCTATCAATAAGCGCGGGGGCATTGCTCTACCTAAAGTGTGTTTCCTGGAGGAACACAACTGAGGCTCTGTGTGACCACAGTGTCCTAAGGAGTTGCCTCAGTTTTTTCGGGTATGTTAAGTCCCCTGACATTGTTGGACCTAAACCTCAGTGGGGCGGGTCGGAAGTCCGTCGCCATGGTGAGAGGTGAAGCTGGTAGAAGTGTGTGAGATGATAGACAATAAGAGATGGGAGAGAGAGCGAGAAAGAGACAAGAAAAAATAAAGGCTGGGGGGGTAGCAGTGGGGGGGTGGAGTACTATCAGGATAGGCAACGGTGACCCTGGGTCTTTTGTGAGAGTTAAACGTGGGTGCGTGCGGCCTGCTAGGGTTTCGCACTACCCCTGATCTCCAACCAATTATACAGGGGAGTCTGTTGCGTAGGGGAGACAGACACCTGGTGTGTCTGGTTTTTAGGGTGCCTGCGTCCAGCCCATGAGAACAGAGTTGTGCCTCCATAGTGGCTTCCATAAATGTTGTGTTAAACTTGTTGTGGGTAGAAACATCACTGGACTATGTTGAGCCGACCCGACTAACTAACCAACTGGGGGGGAATCTCTGGAGCGGGAGCATCTGGGCATCTACCCAATTAGGGCATGTTACAGGGACACTGCTGTCAATCCCTCCCGGAGTACAGGGGGGTGGGTGTGGGAGCGTGTGCTCATACCGTGTGAGTGACATTTGACTTTAAGTGCATTGATGCCACTGAAGGGTCTCCCCCGGGGGACTGCTGTGGCCACTGGCAGGGGTTAGGGCGGTCACCTCCTTGGGGGGTGAATGTTAAGTGTTATGCCCGTTTCTGTGTTCACGCAGGTGATAGCCTGGGGCACATGCTGGACAGATCAATTGTTTAGGTTATGGACACCTTAGGCATCAGTAACTTGGCGCTAACTTCTAATCCTGAACTGTGAGGGCTTCCGTAGGATCACTCTATATCCCCCCGAGTGGCGAGTGGCGTTGTCTCAGGGCATGCCAGCATAATATTACATACTTCATTACCAACGTGAAACAGTAACCCCCGCCCCCAACAAGGGTGCCCACCTTGGTCCACCCCCACCGGCAGCCACTGGCGTTCCATCCAGGTGGGCCCCGGGGCAGGTAAGCCCGGGAGAGTCCACCCAGAACGGGGAGGCATCCCTGCCTCACCAGCCGTCCCTCATATACGTATAAGGATGGAGGGGCAAGTGGCATTCCTTACAGGGTGTCTGTTGCTGTGTCCTGCAATGTGGTATCAGATCTGATTAGGGTTTTGGCTACCCATGCCTGGGTAGTTGTGTTGCCACCAGTGTGGGGCTCAGGGTGAGAGGTACCCCCATGGGAGACCCAGCGGGATCATTGGCAGAGTGTAAGCATCCCATCACCCCCAGTCTCAGCTACAGTCCAAGTCCCGGGTCACCCCCCAGCACCCACCCCAAAGGGGCCATAAGGCCAATAAACTGCAGACCCAGGACAGCAAACAATGTTAAACAGGTAACAGTAGAGTACTAACCCCGGAGCCATGGCTGCGTTAATCCGGCGGCATCCCCCAGCTTGCAAAACATAGGTGTTACTCCAGCGACAGGGGTGCCGGGCTCCATTTGGTAGTGTGGTTTTTACTCCTCTGGGCCATTCAGGCCGCCTCTCCGCTGGGAGTTGGAACACAACTGCAGGTGAAAGAATAAACCTGATACTGTCACTTTAAGTAAATATAATTTATTGAATTTTTGTATTTCCACTTTTATAATCCTCTGCAACAATGTAAATTGAAAATATAATGCATAAGTAAAGATAGATCCCACTTTGAACGTGGCTTCACAGAGTTTATTAGACTTCAGTAGTGAAAAATAAAGTAGATCCTGATTTGGAAAAATATCTCACAGTAACAAGGTATGCGAGGAGGCACAAACTGATTGAGCAATTTGGATGAGGCCGTGGCTTCCTTTTTAAAGGGAAACACATGACGTCAGACGCATGGGCGGAGTCGGATCGTCAAAACCCGGTAGTCATACGGGTAATGCCGATCGGAAGGAAGATATGGGTGAATTTTGACAGACAGGGCTCTGAGCCGGGCACGTCCGGAGGACCAGGATGAGGAGGGGGCCTCTCCAGGATCCAATTAGGCACCAAGAAAGCAGGGAGGCCCAAGGCTCGCAGGAATCCAGGGACATCGTTAGGCCATCTCATGGTGCACCAGGTATTGTCCTTTCGGGCTTGGGGTCTCAAAGCCCAATGGGTTTTCAGTGTGATGGCTGAGAGATCCTGATACAGGGTGACCATGGCCTCTTGGTAGGTGATGGTTGGTGGCCTGGCTGCCAGCATGATTGCGTCCTTGAGCTGGAAGGATAGCAGGCAGCAGATTACATCACATGGCAGGCCGTCCCTCCTCGGGGACGCAGTGCTCTGTGAGCCCTTTCAATGTGGAACTCCTCCCCGAGTACCTGTGTAAAGAGTTGTGTCAAGGTTTCCATGAGATCTTTGTTGTCTGTTTTGGATAGGCCTCTGACAAGTATGTTGTTGTGCCAGCCACCATTATCCAGATCCTCCACCTGCCTGCAGAGTTCCAGGAGAACCGAGCCCTGTTGGGCTGTGGCATGGTCAGCAGCCTGTGAGTGCTGGATGGTCTGCATATTGTTGCATATATATCTGTGACCCGTTGTTCGAGGGCGGGGAGGTCTCTGCGCACATCCATCATCTCCTCTCTTATTAATGCACAGAGCTTGGTCACCAGGGCCTTGGTCTTATCCGCTCTAATGAGCATATTGGCTGTGATTGTCGCGAGCTCGGCAGCAATCTGTGTGAGGGTTTCCCC